TTTGTGTCTGTGTTGGAGAACCAGAGTAGTTCAGATGGGGCTGAAGAAATAAGGCAGGGGTTTTGTTTTCTTTTGTTTTTGTAGTGAATAATAACGCGTGTTAAAGCAGGTGTATTCCAAACTGCTGAACATATACTATACTGTTATATATTGGAGAACTGTAAAACTCTCTTGGAAAGGTAAGCCAAAATTCAGTGAGTGTACAGAGTGCCAGGGCATGTGTGTGTTAAACTATCTTTACTGGAGGTTTTCATGGCCAGGTGAGGGAATTCTGCCTGAAAATGTTTCGGGTTCTGTGTGGAGTGCACAGGAACCATTTCTGAGGTGGCTCGGCTGGGTGGGTGCAGCCGGGACAGTTGTGGGAGCACAAACTGGACGCGTACTTCCGGGCTATGGGCGCACGCGCGGGCGGGAGGGTGGGCGCACGGCATTGTGGGCCGGCAGCGCTGCGCGAGGTCGGCGGCCGTTTGTGTGCGGCCGGCGGCCGGTGCCGCGCGCTCTCACTGTCTTGTGTTTGATGTGTTGAGCAGGAGGCAGCCCGCGCCATGAGCAGCACGGCCGTGGTCCCCAGCGCGGCGGGCCCAGGTCCCGGCCCCAGCGGCGGGCCAGGCGGAGGCACCGAGGTGATCCAAGTGACCAACGTGTCCCCGAGCGCTAGCTCCGAGCAGATGCGGACGCTCTTTGGCTTCCTGGGCAAGATTGACGAGCTGCGCCTCTTCCCGCCGGAGTGAGTACCGGGGCACTGGGGCCCGCGGCCCTTCCGGCGAGGCAAGGCGAGGCGCGCGGTCCCGCGGAGCCCTGCGTGGAAGATCCGCGGGCCCGCCAGGCCGCAGGCCCGGCATGAACGCCCCAGTGGTGTTTTCAGGAACATTTTTCCCCTGACGTTGTCGACACCATCATTTTACTTTAACACTTGATCTTTTGGTTGAATCCCCCTTTGATAGGAAAACTAATGCTGTGCTTTGTTAGAAAGGAAATAAAGTTGGTATGGTCAGTTGATGTAAATGCTTGTGTGGTATTCAGAAATAATTAAGGATTGGTCTTCAGTGATTTTTGAAATAGGAAATAACATCAAAGATCATTTACCGTCCTCCCTCCTTTGACAGATTAAATCCTTGGGCCTGAATGCTAACTTTTTACATAGTTTAGAAATTCATTATAGCTGAATCTCGGTATGTTGTTTAAATAATGTACAGATTTATAAATTAATCGTGAAGGGATTTTTTTCAGAGTGTTGAAATTTGAATTAGGTTTTATGTGGTTTTCTTTTTTGTTTTGAAAGTTGTTTTTATTGAAATAGTATTAAGTAAATATATGTTCACTCTAAAGAACAAAGGAATTACAAAGAGAAGTTGAAATAACTGCTTGCCCTCAAAGAATTATGAAGCTTAGTAAAAGTACAGTGGTTACTGTTAGTAAAAACTCCCAACCAAATTTTGGGGTTTATGATGTCTCAAATTCTAAATAGGAAATTAGAATCCTCACAGTCTTCTGTTGTTTGTGTAATCACTGATCGTGCCAAAGTTGATCATATGGCCTATGTGTTAGTTATTAATACATATTCATGACTGCCTACTTGAAATATTTTCATGTAACTGTTAATGTTTGGCATTGATGTCTTTTTAACTTTTAGAGAAAATATACAAGGTTTGGGTACCAGTTTGCGTGGGGTGTGTAGAGTTTTAGGATCCACTGTTATTTTGAGGAGAATCTTGGCTTTGGAAATTCCTTAGGGGAGCATGCTCTCCCTAAGAAATCGATGCTCTCTGTTACTCAGTTTTCTCACACCAAACTAATAGTAAAACTGCAGAAAATCATGCATTCAGTTTGATTTGTGACATAACTCTTTATAGTCTATAGAGCCCTTTGGGTTACTAAAAGTTCTATTATAACCACCCACTTTAAAATACTGTTTGTTCTCCAAAGCTACTCTATACTATATTTAAAAGATAACAAAGAGAAGTGGGTGTTGCATTGTTTTTTTTTTTTTTCTTGTTGACGTAGTTGGTGTAAAATGCCTAAAGGAGGTTGTGATAAACTTGAGTTTGGTCTCTATGTGGTGACTTGGGTAATGCCACCATAAACTGAGTGGTTGCAGGCTTGGCTCATCCCTCAAGGTGATCTGTGTTACAGTGTACTCAACTCCTCAATCTATATAAAAACTGTCGCACTGCTGCTGTCACCAGGCTAAGTTCAGCCTTTCATAGACGGAGATTCTTGAGTTATTCAGCATTGCATTTTAAAGGAAGAGGCATATGAAGTCAAAAATTGATCTCAAGTGAATGTTACTTTTGTTACCTGTATTGCTTTTAGGGCCACAGGGGGTATAAGCTCAAAACTTGTGCTTAGAAATGGCTGACACGGTGGAGTTAAAAGGTTAGTGTGATGGCCTAAATAAGTTCTTACACTTGTGTGACCATGGAAGATCTTAGGAAAGAAGTCACTCCTGGGAACTGGATTCTGATTCAGTGGGTACTTAGTGAACACCAGGGTTCATTAATTTTCTGATGTTTCTTTCAGCAGGACAGAAACATCAGGGAACTCTTATTCTTATTTTGCTTCTTGGGGTAAAAGATACTTGTGCTTTTATATGTGGTCCTTATATAAAATAAAATGTGTTTGGTAAATGGGAAGTAGTTAACTTGAAGGCAATGTTTTCTGACTTTCTTTAAAAAATATATTATCTTGCATATACCTCAAGAATTTTTTTCAAAGATTTATTTTCTGTATGAGTGTTTTGCCTGCATGAATGTCTGTATTATGTTTATGCCTGGTATCTTGGGGGCTAGAAGAGTGTATTGGACCCCCTGAAACTGGAATTATGGACTGTTTTCAGTGACCATGTAGGTGCTAGGAGTCAAACTTGGGCTCTCTGTAAAAACAAGTGCTCTTAGCCACTCAGCCATTTTTCTAATCTAAGAACTGGTCCTTCTCCCCCCCCCCCCTCCCCACAGTTAGACAACAGTTACAAGTGATAAAGACTAGGAATCATGAATGCCTATGATTTCCTAAGGTGTTGTTCTGTTGGGTTTTAAGAACATAAGGCAACACCATTTTGAAGAGCTTTTAGAATGTAATGGTTAAAGTGAAAAATCAGTGACAGGAAAAAACAAAACAGGTGCCTGAGCATTCATGCTAGAACACTTTTCATTGTTTCTGATTGAAATTTTTCTCATATTTCAGACAAACACTTTTTTTTTTTTTAAACCATGTATGTTGAGTCTTGTTATCTCAGCACCAGGAAGGTGGAGCTGCGCAGAAGGATCTGGGGTCTTCCCAGGGCAGCCTGAGCTTATACAACACCCTGTCTCAAAAAAAAATCCTTCTCCTTTTAAAAACACTGAGCATTCAGCCTTGTGGATGCAGTTACCTTGTTGCTTGGTTCTCTACCCAGAGTTCTTATTCACAAAGTCAGGAAGAATTAAAGACACCCTGATTTCCTTGATATGGTACTATCAGGGACCTGGGCAGGGTTTTCCCCACAGATGGTTTTCTCATAGCCAAGCTCTATGAGATTGTTACTATCTTAGAGAACTTATCTCCAGATGCCACCTTTGCATTTACAGAATGTTATAGTCGAATTTGGCCCATTATGTCTTTAAAAGAATATTTTTTATGTGCATTTGGTGTTTAACCTGCATGTCTTTGTGAGGGAGTTAAATCCACTAGAACTTGAGTTACAGTTGTGAGCTCCCATGTGAGTACTGGGAATTGAACTCTAATCCTCTAGAAGAGCAGCAATGCTCTTAACCGCTGAGCCATCTCTCCAGCTCCTATTATATCTCTTAAAAAGCCTATTCTGCATTATCTTTTCTTTTTTTTAAGATTTTATTTCTTTATTTCTTTATTACATATACAGTGTTCTACCTACATACCAGAATAGAGTACCAGATTGAATTGTAGATGGTTGTGAGCCACCATGTGGTTGCTGGGAATTGAACTCAGACCCTTTGGAAGAACAGTCAGTACTCTTAACCTCTGAGCCATCTCTCCAGCCCCTGCATTATCTTTTCATGACCGTGAACTTTACCATTTAGTTGTCTATGGAACCAATGTGCTGTTGACTTGCTAAAGTGTAGTATGGGTAGGAGGTACTACATAACATGTTCAGTTGGCCATGTATATGGCTTATTTTCTCTGAAAGTGCTTCAGACTACAAAGCCTTATTTAAACTGATTATGAATTCTTATATAAGTGAAGAGGGTCAGGTTGTGGAATCAGTTTATTGTTCAGGTCAAGAATGCTTAGAGTGAGCCAGGCGTTGGTGGTGCACACCTTTAATCCCAGCACTCGGGAGACAGAGGCAGGCGGATCTCTGTGAGTTCAAGGCCAGCCTGGTCTACCAAGTGAGTTCCAGGACAGGCTCCAAAACAACACAGAGAAACCCTGTCTCTAAAAAACAAACAGACAAACAAAAAGAATGCTTGGAGTGATTGGTTGTTTTCAGACAAGGTTTCAATGTAGCCTAAGCTGGTCTGGACGTTAAGTTTCTGTCACAGCCTCCTATGTGCTGGGGATTATAGGCTTGTGCCATTGTGCTGCTTAGATGTGCTTTTCTGTGGTGTTTTACCTTTGAAATAAATAATTCTTAATTTTTACACTGAGAGATTAGCTATAATGAAAACTTTCTAAGCCAAAACACTCACATTTAAAGGTAGTTGGTGTTAGAACTGAGAATGAGGAGCCATATGTATGGTTCAGTGCCTACCCTGGGTTTGAGCAACTCAAACACATGTATGCACAGCCACTAAAATGATACATCACTGTCTTCTGACTTAAATAGTTTCAGAATTGCTGTGTTACAATTTAAGTGGTGATTATAGGAGCATGTCTGCACTGCATCTCATTCTGTTAGGTCATCAGGACATTTCTCTTTTTAATTGGTTAAAATAAATTAACATGTCTGAATTTTTACCTGAGTGTTGTCCTTTTGGTGATATATCTGTGTTGTAGCCAATACTATTTTTCTCTAATGCTGTTTATTTGTCTTTTAGTGACTCGCCTTTGCCAGTCTCCTCTCGTGTCTGCTTTGTTAAGTTCCATGACCCAGACTCAGCAGTTGTGGCACAGCATCTGACAAACACTGTGTTCGTTGACAGAGCTTTGATAGTCGTACCATATGCTGAAGGTTTGTGCTTTGTTTCACTACCTACGTGGGCACCCCTACCTGGCCATCGGCCACAGTGTAGGTGTAGAGTAAGCATCACTAGCTTGTTAAACTCTGAGCATTCATTTGAAACCCTTGTTATACTGCACTCCATAATTCTTACCTGGAGATTTTTTTTCTTACTCTAAAACTTAGAAATCAAGTCTGCTTTATAAGGTAATTAACTTTTTTGCTGTCTTTAAAATGTTTTATGTTTATTAAAACCAAATTCCTAATTAAGACTCTGAGATATGTTAATGTTAAGTCCCAAAGGTAAAGAATTATACCATGTCACTCTTACACAGAAATCTTCAAATAAATGCATGATGTTTTTGTTGTAAATCAATAGCTAAGTCAGTTTACTTCCTTGATTCTCTCACTCAAAACAAAAACCCCACATGAATTCCAGTATACCAAGGGTTACAATAATTTTAGTTTTGGAAAAGTTTAAGATTTCCTATAGTTTAGGTGCCAGATGGGCACTGGGTGTATGTTTTTATGCCAGATTTTCTTGTTCTTGTTATATTTTCTAGAATATCTCAAAATAATGAACTCTTCTCTCTGTTGTGTGTGTGACTTTTGTAGTGGAGAAGGCACATGCAAACCTCCCAGATGGCTGGACACAGTGGGTGCTCTGCAGCTGCAGGCTCTAGACACTAACTAAACCAGCGAGCACTCGAGCCCCCAAGTGTTTTCCTGCTGTCACCATTTCTTAACTGCATTTTCTCTCTTTTTACATTTTAGGCTGTTAAAGTAATTTGACAGAAAAAAAAAAAATGAGCAGGTTTTTGGATCTAAAAAAGCCACTCTGACAGGACGGCACTATTTTAATGCCATTTTGTAAAACTTTTCTAAGGCATATTTTACATTAGCTTGTTCCCAGTGAACTGCTGTTTGGTTTGTTTTTGGTAATTATAAATCTTTAATGGGGAAATCATTGCTATGACATGTTACTGAATTTTAACTTAATAACTTAATATACTGTCCAGGATCTACATGCTTTCCCCTTCTTCAATAAACTGGTCAGTGGAAGCAGTATCTTATAATTGTTGCTTTTTAGATGCTTCTTAGATAATTGAAGACAAATGTGAAGATTTGCCATCATAGCTGTGCAAGTTGAAAAATGTCTATCATAGAGAATTGCCTCTGGTTTTTATAAGGAAATTATATTCAGAGATGAGTTATGGCATGCTATTTTGGTAACTGTATCTATCACCAAGGTGTTAAAATATGTGAGATGTGAGGCTAGTAACAATATTTCTATGAAAGAAAAGACAGAAGCTGATTTAGTATATTTTGGATAAGCAATTCCTATTATTTCAGTGTGCCTCTTATAAGACTTAACCACCACCTTAAACCAACAGAGAACTTACAGAACTCAGTTCAGGATGAGTAAAGTAGACAGTAGGTCTTGAAACGGTCATGCCATGTGAGTAATGTGCAGAGAACTTCAGTTAGCCATAAATGTAATGAGCCTGGGATGCAATATAGCATATCATATAACTGGGTTTTTATAACTATTTAAGCCATAGACATTTTTGTAGATGTGTTTTTGAAAGTGAGGTTTTTGGGAGTATGTATAGAGCTATAGAAATGCTTAGTTCAGAAATCTGTTTTTGCTACTTTTAATTTGTGGTATGATGTGCTGTATTAATGTTACCTCCACAAGTAAACTGATGTGTTCGATCCCTTTGTTGCCATTCACTCTGGTTTTAGCCCTTAACAAACACTTTGGTGTTGACTCTTGGTCAGTGTGTTAGAACAATAGACCAAAGGTATACGGTAAGAATAGTCTTACTTGGTAAAATGTAGAGATAGCTGGATATGGAAGGTGCTCTTAATAGTAATGGATTTGGGGGCATCTAGGTTCCTTGGTTAATGTTTGTTTCTTTTGTCTGTTTCTTTTTCTTTCATTTCTACACATTCATGCAGTATTTCATGGTTCTATCAAAGCAGCAGTAAAAAAATACTCTTGACGCATGAGAATTAACTGGTGAGGGGCCTCATTGCTATTTTTAAATTGTAGTTTTATTTTTAGTCCTTTTTAAATCAGAGGATCAGATGCATGACTTTTTTAATGGATGCAGATCTTCTCTCAGGTGTCTCACAATAAATTCAAGAGGATTTTAGTTTGCCAGAAATGTTGCAAATGCACTAATTTGAGTAAGATGTTGATACTTAGTATATCCTCTTGAGACATAATTTTGCATGCAAAATTATCCCTTAATCTTTGTAGGTTTGTTAATATTAATGCATTAATGCCCTATATCCAAATGATCTTCTCCCCTTCCCTCCATAACTCTTGGTATCTAAATTGATGACAGCTCTGACACAAGCAAGATAGCAGTGCTGTGTAGTATACATTTGTTTATATTATCGGCACTTCTCAGTGTAGGTGGAAGGAACCATTACCTTTATTTAACAGTGGTTTTTCTTTTTTGTTGTTGTGTTTTACAGTTCTTTTCCCTGGTTCAGCCTGAACTATATACCAGGCCCTGCTGAAAATACCACCCAACAGTTTTCTTCTGCAGCTTATCCAGTTTCTCTTAAGTGCCCTGTACATATTGTATGTTTTATAATGAGATGCAGTTTCTTAATATGTATTACAGAAATACTACTGGTATTTGCAAATATGTAGTTTAATTGTATTATTGAACTCTCACTTTGGGGGCTTGGGCACATTAACAGATTAATCCATCTGTATAGGGCTTTTGCTGTTGGATAGAATTTAAATTGTCTACATAAATTGTCTTAGGACCTTTAAATTTTATCTGAATACACAGATTAGGCTTTAAAAGCAGGCATACATGTTGTGTTGGGCTTAAGGAGTTTTGAACAAGTTAGATATTAAACTGACACTACCTAGCAACATTTTTTGATATGGTTAGCATGGCACATATTGGAACCTAAAGCATTTAACTGTACAGGTAAGGAATGTGCCATGTTTTACCCACTCCCTCTCCCTCCCCCCTCCCTCCTTCCCTTTCCTTCTCCCTCTCTTCTTCTCCTCTCTCTCTCTCTCTCTCTCTCTCTCTCTCTCTCTCTCTCTCTCCCCCCTTCCCTCTCTCCCTCACTCTGCACCTCCCTTACTTCCTCCTCTTCTTCCCACTCCCCCTACACACATTTCCCCTGTGTATTCAGAGACCTTCAGAAACATTCATATTCATGTCATGAGTCAGCAAAAGCCCTACTCTTGATTCCAACAGAATATTTCCTTTACATACTTTCCTTCTTTAATTTTTACAAAATTTGTATGGTAGGTGTAAAGAAAATCATAGTAACTGTACCATATTATTAACCCCTAAATCAAACTTTTTTTGTCTTGTGTATCTTGATTTTTCTGTGTGCTTTATAGTGAAGCAGCCGACACGAGTCGTTGTTCATAAAACAGCTTTTGAAAGTTGAGAGCACACCCCTGGAGAACCGACTGTGCTTGCTTACGTTTGGTTCATGACTTAAAAATCGAGTACAGGTGATGAAATCTTGGCAGTGTTAACAAAACAGTAGTGTGTATTGTGCTATTTTTTTTTACTCTAGAAACTTAACCATTGTAGAGAAAAAGGAAACAAATTTTCACACATTGAAGTTTCATTCTGACATAAATTAATGATAAATAATCATAGAGATCAAACTTTATATTTTAGCGAACATAAGTACTTTCAACAAACTCAGGTGGTGTATCAGGGAGACATTTTCTGGGTGTTTTTGTGTGTTTTCTGTCTTACAAGAGGGTGTATTCTCATGCAAGGATGTTTCTCTGCAGGAGTTATTCCTGATGAGACTAAGGCTTTGTCACTATTGGCACCAGCTAATGCAGTGGCAGGTCTTCTGCCTGGTGGTGGACTCCTGCCTACGCCCAACCCACTTACCCAGGTACTTAATGCCATTGAATTCTGAAAGAGTGATCATATTTGGTGTTTGTGAGATAGTGATTGACAATAAGAAATGGACTTCATCACTGGTGTATGGAAAGTCAAGACTGCCTCTATCAGATATTACATGATTGTGTTGATTTAATTGTGCTTGAATAAAAATTGTGTCAGGAAGACAGGATCTTAGGAATATAAATAAGAAACAAGGGATGATTAGTGAATAGGAGGTTACTACATCTAATGAGTGTATAGCAGTCCCAGTAAGGAACAATACTGCAGAACAAGAACACAAGCATTTTGACCAGAGGACTTAGTGCTGAGACTTGCACTTTGAAAGTATGACTGAGTGTTTCACTGGGAGGACAGGACAAGGGGGCTCCCAAAAGAAGCCCTCTACCTCGGTCAGAGTCCATACAGCAGTCACCTAACAAGAACCAGAAGAGAGTATATGGGGTCTTATCATCATCATGGCACCCAACAGCCAGCAAGTGTGTGTTGAAGGTGCAATGAGTACTTAGAATTGGCATACACTGAAGCTCCACTGAAAGGCTCATTCATCTGTAAGTCTTCAAAGGGTAATGTTCTGTGAGAAAAGAGAGGCGGACATTATATGGACAGGTGTGAGAAACTGCCGGCCACACCTTCATGTATATTATATATGACAGAATTTGAACCATAGCAGTTTTATACCATTGAGTTGTTACAACAGTACAGTCATAACCTATATAGATGACAAAGACATTGTCTGACCCAGTATAGAAACTTAAGTTTTATGTAAGAAAACTTTGACCATTGCAGATTGGCGCTGTTCCCCTGGCTGCATTGGGAGCTCCAGCTCTTGATCCCGCCCTTGCTGCTCTTGGGCTTCCGGGAACAAACTTGAACTCGCAGGTATGTCTCACTGGCTTTCATCTGTAAGTTTGTTTTTGTGGGAGAGTATTATTTCATTAGTTAACTTGTTTGAAAGGGATGTAAATGATCACTGAATGATGGATCATTAGTCCTTTAAACATTTAAAGAATACTTTATTTCAAAGGCCTTACTTTGTGGAGATGTTCCGTTATTCTGAGTTTCAGATTTTGTGTTCTGGTTCCTCATAGTCTTTAGATGCCTAAGAGCTGACCCTATGCATCTGTCTGGTCAACCTTGCTCTTGATGACTGCTGCCCTCCTTCCACAGCTGCAGCCACAAACACCACCTGTCTTTGGAATCTTAGCGTGAACTTACCTGTTTGTCAAGGATGTACACAGAGCCTTGCACTGTTTGCCAGTCTGTCCTAGAACTTATTAACAAACTAAGAAAATGAAATAGCAATCACTTATCATCTCTTTGCTCATTGTATTTATCTTTTCCTTTTTTTAAGTCTCTTGCTGCAGACCAGCTGTTGAAGCTTATGAGTACCGTTGATCCCAAGTAAGCATTCTCCTCTCCCTTGGTTATGTACTGTGTGACTGTCTAGAGAACACTTACTTTGTTTTCTTTTTGAGATAAGTTTCACTGTGTAGCATAGCCTTGCCATGTATTCACTATGTTGTTCAGCCTGACCTCAAACTCCTGTACTTACTTCCCAACTGCTGTGACTCCAGACATAGACCACTACACTAATTTGGGAAGAGTTACTGTTAATAGAAAGAGAGTTAACTACATTGTACATAACTACATAATGTCATTCTTTTTTTTTTTTTTTTTTTTTCTTCGTTTTTCGAGACAGGGTTTCTCTGTGGCTTTGGAGGCTGGCCTCGAACTCACAGAGATCCACCTGCCTCTGCCTCCCGAGTGCTGGGATTAAAGGCGTGCGCCACCAATGCCCGGCTCATAATGTCATTCTTAATATGTTTTTATGTATCACATTATAGAAACAAGAAAGAAAATCCAAAAATAGACCCCAATATTAAAGGTTTTGTTTTGATGTTTCCTAATAAATTATAAGTGGCTTGTTTTAAAGTGAGAGCCTGAAAGTTGTTTTTTGATGATTCTAACAAAATAAGACATTAGAATGAGGCATGGTGGCGCACAGCTTTTAATCTCTGCACTTGAGGGAGGGGAAGCAGAGGCATGTGATCTAAATTTGAGGCCAGCCTGGTCTAAATAGCAAGTTCCAGACCATCTAGGGCTACATAATAGGAGCCTGCCTCAAAAAAAATTCTGTAGTCAATATTCAACATTCATTGTAGCAGAGTATGTGCGTTCAAATGGGGGAGGTAGAGAGGTGCTAAGGAAGGTGCCACAAGAGAGAGAGAACTTGGTTTTTTGATCAGAGGCTGAGCCCTGAGGGTGGTGGGAATTGGAAAAGTGAGGCTGAGAAGGAAGTGCCTATTAGGTAACTAACACTACCATGTTCTCAGGTGCTCTTACACAGTACTTGAAATTCTCTTCTGTGTGATGGTAACATTCATAGGCTTTTTCCACCTGTAAACTAAATTGGAGCTCTATTCCATGTCTCCTGAAGTTGGTCAGTCACTATTACTGCGGGGGAAGGGAGAACATGGCAAGGCAAAGGACATAATCAGTTTGACTTGGAAGTTACTGTCCACATAGCCCACTTTTTCTTACTTTTGTTTTTTTTTGAGTCAGGGTCTCATTATATAGCTTTGGCTGGCCTCTGCCTCTTAAGGTGCTAGGATTAAAGGAGTGTGCCACCACACCCAGCACTCTTTAAGAAAAGAATTTTTTTGGATCTGTTTGGCAGGGGGCTTGGCATGCATACAAGCAAAAGTGTGGGTATGGAGGTTCACAGTTTTAAGGAGCTGGTTCACAGTTATGAGTGTTGGCAGCAAAATGTTTGCCTGCTTAAACACCTCAAGAACAATTTATACATGTTCTGGACAACATCTTGCTCTCCCCCATGGATTACTGTTGTCTAGTTTGGTGGGTTTATTTGGCTTTTGTTGTTGTTGTTGTTGTTTTGTTTTTCTTGTATATGTAAACACTTAAAGGCACATCTTTCAGCACTCGGGAGGCAGAGGCAGGCGATCTCTGTGAGTTCCAGGCCAGGCTGGACCGACAGCCTCGAAAACAATACAGAAAACAATACTCGAAAAGCCAAAAAAAAAAAAAAAAAAAAAAAAAGGCACATCTTTAACCTTTGTGGTCAGGATTTCATGTGCAACTTTGTGAACTGTTGGCCACTGCCTCAGTTTCTCCCCAAATGCAGCCTAAAAGGTAAATTTTAAACTTTCATTTCTCAATTGTTTTAGATTGAATCATGTGGCTGCTGGTCTTGTTTCACCAAGTCTGAAATCAGACACCTCTAGTAAAGAAATAGAGGAAGCCATGAAGAGGGTGCGTGAGGCCCAGTCCCTGATTTCTGCAGCTATTGAGCCAGGTAATATGCTCATACATATTTTCCTTGAATGTTGAATTGTGGTTCTTGGTAAAGCTGATAATGGCTTAAATGTAGAAGCTGTTGAATAACATTCTTGGTTTTTTGTTTTAAGACTGTCTGTATTCTGAGAGACAAATCATTTAATAGTTTTCAATCATACCCTTTTGTGGGTGTATGGTAGGAGTTGCTGAGAAGGAACCTGGAGGCTTGTGGATGCTAAGCAGGTTGTTGTAATTTAAAAAAGAGCTGCTGGAGAGAGAAAAACAGATGACAGAGTTCAATCAGAGGGGTTTTTTTTAATTAAGGGGAAAGGATCGTAAAAAGGCGCGTGGGGAGATGGGCCTCCTGGGACAGGAGCAATGGGAGAGAGGAAGGGGTGGGGCAGGGCCTTTGTAAAAGGAACATAGTGAATAGGTACAAGTGATGCAATGATGCTCTTAGAGGCAGCAGCTGAAGAGGGTGTGTTCTGTCAGATGAATAAATACCAACACAGGTAACATTACCACTAAACTAGCTCTACAAAGACTGTCCTTTTGAGGTTGATTAAATGAATTGTCCCAGTTTATCTTTGTTATGTGTATGTGAATCTGTGGTAATGAAGCACATTTTTCCAATTAAATGTTTGATTTTTTTTTTACTCTTATTCCTTAGTAAGTGGAAATGTTATTTTTTAGAAAGAAATTTTTAAGTATTAAAAAAACCGATAGCAAATACTTTTAAGTATATCATCTGGTAAGGTATGAAGTTGTCTCAAATGTAGAGCTGAGTTCTCTAGAGTTTTTATGCTCTAACTGCTTCTGTTAAAAAAAAACTGAGGCTGAAATGACTGTGCTTTGCTTATAATGAATTCCATGGTTATGTGACTTTTTGGCATTAGCAGTAAATTAAAGCCTGTGAATGAAATGACCTAACTGAATTGGTGGCATCATTTTGGTTATAGTGAGCATGTGGAAAGGGCAGTGGCATGCCTCTTGGGTCCTGAAGAAAGAAATTTGTTATGTTGGAAGTGAAACAGTTTCGTGTTTAAAGTACAATTAAAAACGGTAGCAGAAGAATGGGAATGATGAGGGAAAAGCTGACTTCCTAAAGTCAGTCCGATTCTGTCACTGAGGTTCAGTGGCAGGATAATAAGTCATGGCATTGGATTAGAATTTTGGCAAATGCTTAGGTAATAAAGACGGTGTTCATGGTACCCTAAATATACCTACACACAAACATGTATGATGAGAACATTTCACTTGGTCAAGAGTTGAAACCTCAATGTGGAACTCTCAGAAAAGAAAGAGAATCCAGTAGAACCTTCTGAAGAGCAAATCAGAAGACCAAAGAATAAAAAAGATATCTTTTTGTACATTGACTTATGTGGACACTTGGGCCCTCCAAAACTGTTCAGATTATATAGTGGAGGAAACCTTAGCTAGCAGTTACAAATCGCCTAGGGTTTACTGAAACCTGAGGTAATCACTGAAGCAGGCTTCCTGATAAGTCTGTATATGACATGATCGCTTACAGCATATGAGGGTATCTTATAAAGGCTGAAGTAACAACAAGGAATTCTTGGAAGGCCGGCAAGATGCCTCTGTAGGTAGATGTGCTCTGAACAGTCAGAGAATAGCAGTTCCATTCCTGAATCTTACATATGTACCTCTGGTTAAGCATTTCTTAGTACACATTCCTTTTCTTTTAAATTCAGACAAGAAAGAAGAAAAGAGAAGACATTCGAGATCAAGGTCGCGCTCAAGGAGGAGGAGGACCCCCTCATCCTCCAGACACAGGTTAGCAGTCTCCTGACCATCAACTGTACCTTAAGGACTACCTCCTATATAAAGTGAATCATTAGTTTTTGCTGAGAATGTTTTTTGTTGTTGTTGTTTTTGGTTTTTACGAGACAGCGTTTCTCTGTATTGTTATGGAGCTGTTGGTCCAGCCTGGCCTCGAACTCACAGAGATCCGCCTGCCTCTGCCTCCAAAGTGCTGGGATTAAAGGCGTGTGCCACCACCGCCCGGCCGTTACTGAGAATGTTAAAGTTGCTGTGAGCATATTAGGAGAGAGGTGTAACTTGAACAGGTGATGCCTACTTAGCTAAAGCTGTTAAAAACCCTTCAATGGAGGAAAGCTTTGGAACTTAAACACTAAAATGCCGTACTTGTATGAAACACATACAACTTGAAATTGTTAGCAGTATTGCTTTCTACATTATGTAGTAAAGGTTAAGGCTAAATCTGTTCTCATCTCACACATTACTTATACCCTTTTGTGAATATGTACTGTTTGTTTTCTGTAGCACAGTGACTATCTATCCAAACTTCAGACTCTAGCTTTTACACTTTAAAAAATAAAGACGATGCACTTCAGCTTATGTGGTTATTTCTAACCATATTACAGATTGAGGCTGTCATAGTAGCCAACCCATCCCATTTACAGAGCTTTGCAAAATGAACACCTTAACTACCCTCCAAAATACCTGATGGTGAAAGGGGTTTTGTTGTACTTCACCAATCTAAAGTTTTAGCTTAGTACAAGAAAGGGTTTCCACATTCAAATTTTTACACTATATTCTTGTTCACTTTTATTGTTTTCTTGGGGGAGGTAGTGACTATTGATTTATGTAGGGTCTCAGAACTTAGCCTTGGGTGGCCTGGAACTAGTTATGTAGACTAGACTACTCTCAAACTCATAAAGATCCACCTGCTTCTTCCAAGTGTTGGAATTAAAGTCCACATCACCATGCTTGGTTCACATATTTTTAAGCTATTTTTTTCTTTGGGAATTTCAAAGGAGAGTTAGTGTTAATATTTTCAGGCAATTATAATCACTATTCTTTGATAAATTGCCCAATTTAATATAATTTCTGGTTGCCACCCAATTCTATGAAATGGCATTTGATATCACCTTAGATTTCATCAGAAAACTTTTACCTAGCAGCATCAGGTTTTCACATGTTTTTCCCTCCAGGAAGCCAGATTTTATTATTGACAACAGATTTGTTTTCCTTAAGGGGTAATATGCTTTGTTCATCTTCAAGAAAACATCCTTCACATACTCAGTTTATAATACCTATATTTGTTGCTTCTTGGGAAATTATGTTTTTGTTGTGGAGTCTTCTGGAATCAGCTTGTAGTGCATGTGCACTACACAGTCACACACAAGCACAAAGATCATGCATGCGTTAATAATTTCTGAGGTCTAGAAGACACTTGGCCTAAATGATAACAGCAGCTGAATGGAGGGGAATTGTTCTTCAGTGCTTGATACTGATCTCATACATCTGAGGTGGTTGCTTTGTGCGTTTTAGATCTGTATGCACACATAGTGCTCGTTTACATTTTTAGGCGGTCACGAAGCCGATCAAGGAGGCGGTCACACTCCAAGTCCAGAAGTAGAAGGAGATCCAAAAGTCCAAGACGGAGAAGATCTCATTCCAGAGAGAGGGGTAGAAGGTCAAGGAGCACGTCCAAAGCCAGGTATATTTGCACAATACAGACAAGTAGCAGCCACAGTTCTTGAGACCTCAGTGCTATGCTTCTTACTACAGCATAGGTGAGGTGTGGGGTGGTAGCTAAATTGAAAATAAACTATGGCTTTTTACGATGCTTGTCTCCTGTCAAGCTGAAAGGTGTAACTTTTTTTAATTTTTAAAAATTTATGTGCATGATGTTTTGCCCACATGTGTATATATGTACACCATGTGCATGCCTGGTGCCCACAGAGGCCAGAAGAACATATCGGATCCTCTGGAACTAGAGTTACAGAGGCTGCTGTATGGGTAGTGGGAATTGAACCCTGGGTCCTCTGAAAGAGCAACAGGTGCTCTAAATTGCTAAGCCATTTTCCTGGCCCCTGTAACATTTCTTAGTAATAAATTCTTTTGGCTACCCTTGTCACCTACCTTGTTGGCTTTCTTCTTTTCCATTCAACCACTGTTGTGAGTCTGAGTTCAGGACTCCCAGATATCCCTTGTCGTATGCCAAGGAGCTCCAAGCAGACACCTAGCTGTGTTCATGTCATCATCAGTGATTGGAAACATTCCCGAAGGATCATTTATGGAGTAGACATGGAGCCATATTAGAGAAAGGCTTTTGTCCTATGATCTGACCAACTGAGGGATTGTGAGAAAAGGAAAGTGATATGCTCTACCCCACCCCACCCACCAACTTAAAGATACTTTTTCTGTTTTATAAACTAGTCTTGGGGCTGGAGAGGTGATTTAGCAGTTAAGAGTACTTGCTGCTCTTACAGGTTGCCTGGATTTGATTCTTGGAACTGACTGTAACTTCAAGTGTAGTGGACCAAACACCCTCTTCTGGTGCACATAAATTCATGTAGATATATACATACAAGTTTAAAGATAAGTAAATGTATGTTTTATAAAAGAACCATGTTCTCATTTAGAGACAGGTTCTTTTAAGTCAATGGTCTAGTCTTGAATAACTAAAAATATAGTAGTTCCTTCCCTTTTGCTCCACCACTCCCCAATCATTTGTCACTAAAGAGAAAGAAACTGTTTTCATACACAGAAGTAATCAGAAATTCCTTTCCTTAAGAACTTTGTATTGAAAACAGAATAGCCACATGGGAAGGAACTATGTTAAATAATAGCTGTACAAATTCAGTCACTGAAGGGAGAACATTGTGCCTTGAAAGATGAACAGAGTGTGGGTACACTTGATAAGTATACTGGAGCCCATTAGGAGAGTCTGTGATAAAGGCTGTCTGTCAAGAGAAGATGACTGCTGGAGCAGAGAATCACCAAAGAAGGAAGGAGACAAGGTGGAGAGTGTATATTGTGGGATTTAGGTAGAAATGAATGGGAAGGACCTGTAAAGAGCTTTGGAATTGAGTAGTTGTAGTGCCTACCTATCCAAGCGTCAATTAAGTTTTCAGATGACAGTGACTAGCCCAGAGTATACAGTAGCAAAAAACGGTAGGAACTTGACTTAGTCTGTTCATTTAAGGAAAGAGTGACTGGCAGTGTTGCTTCATTGGTTTATGATGTTGAGACAGAGTTCAAAGGACCCAGCAACAGCAGTTAAGTCCATTGAACTCAGAACCAGAGACAAGAAATTGGTCGGCATTGAGGCCCCTTTACTATTGGAGATAAGTTCTAGGTGGACTATCAAGAAAATGGGAGGCTTACAGAATTATTTTATCACACAATGTCATGTGTCATAAGAAGAGTGAGATTACATGGAATGAAGTGTTAGTCCTTCACACTTTATTAAATTATGTTTGTTAGAGACAAAAAGAAAGAAGATAAAGAAAAGAAACGATCCAAAACCCCACCAAAAAGCTACAGTACAGCCAGACGCTCTCGAAGTGCAAGCAGGTAAGGCCTGAGCGGTGACTATTTTTCAGCAGACCACAGATGTCCAGATTCAGACAAATACCTCAACGTTGAGAAAATGAGGCTTAGCCAAGTTTTGATGACTGAAGCACACTAAGTTGTTAGGGTAGCTTCGTTATGATGCTCACCATATTCAGGTGTTATACTCAAGAATGGTTTTTCCCTTGTAGTAGTTTTGTGATAAGTGAATGAGAGGCATTTTAAGTGCTTACTGTGCCATTTCACTGTATGTAAATTATTACACTGAAAATGGAAGTGATGTGACAAACTTCATAGAAAATATATTCTTAATGTTCAACTCCATCTTGATCAGATGTTGTTCAGACATGCTTGTATTCAGCGTTTGTGTGACCCACTTAATGTACCAGAAGTTTGTGCTGTTTCTCAAAAAATGAAAAGTGAATCAAAGACTCAAAAATCGATACTATAATATTTGAAGAAGAAAATTAAAATAAGTTCTGGTAGCCTTGAATTTGGTATTGGTTCCTATGAGGCACAGAAAACTGCAGCACTAAATGAAAGGCTTTATCATTATTATTATTATTATTATTATTTGGGGGGTGGTTTTGAGACAGGGTTTCTCTGTGGCTTTGGAGGAAAGGGCTAATTTCTTTTTTTCTTTTTTGCCTTTTAAAAGAACCACCAAACTGTATGGCAGCACAATGCTCACAATAACCCCAGCTCTTGATAGGAGAATGCCAAGTTAAAGGCTAACCTAGACTGTATTATGTGACCCTGTCTCAAAAGATACCATTAAAAAAGTAAAAAATACTCCTAGAGCAGAGGTTGTTTTTGCATTTAATGTGATAAGGGATTTATACCTTCCCCAACTCCTTCCAGATCTATCCAGCTACATTAGTCTATTCTTAAGCTTGAGATTGTTTGAACTGAAGTAGTATTGTGGGGTAGGTCTTGGGCTGTGGAAGTTTCCAGAGGAGCTGGTGGGACCACACTATATTTTAAAGCCTAGTTTCCACGTTTGTGATTCTAGGGAGAGGCGGCGGCGGCGAAGCAGGAGTGGTACAAGGTCTCCTAAAAAGCCCAGGTCTCCTAAAAGAAAGCTGTCCCGCTCACCATCCCCAAGGAGGTAGGGATCAATTGTTTATACCTAAGTGCTAGATATTTTTTTATATATGCTTGTTTTATTTTGAGGGAATTAAATCTCTAAGAGATTTTCAGTATGCAGTTTTGAAGCATGGGGGGGTAGTGGCACTTTAGGCCTGTATCCAGCTTAAATCCTTACTTAGATTGCCTGATGTTTCATATTTGTCTCTTTGGGATCTTTCTAGTGAGTTTGGTTAAGTTTGTCATCTAAGCAGAGTGAGACCTGTTGCCTACTTAAGAGTAAAACTGCCAGAAGGTCCTGTAAACTAGCTCTAATAAGCACATTTAACTGTCATTGTCTCTAGACATAAAAAAGAGAAGAAGAAAGATAAGGACAAAGAAAGAAGCAGAGATGAAAGGGAACGATCAACAAGTAAGAAGAAGAGAAGCAAAGACAAGGAGAAGGAGCGAGAAAGGAAGTCTGAGAGCGACAAAGACGTCAAAGTAAGTACACAGGCCAGGGCGCTGCCACTGTGGCGCTGCTGTGATTTTTAAGAAGTGCTTTTCCTTTGAAGAAGCTTATTTTTCCATTTTCCTTGGCAAAGCAGGTGACGCGAGATTATGATGAAGAGGAGCAGGGCTATGACAGCGAGAAGGAGAAGAAAGAGGAGAAGAGACCAACAGAAGCAATGTCCCCTAAAACAAAGGAGTGCTCTGTTGAGAAGGGGGTGGGCGACCTGCGAGAGTCCAAAGTAAATGGGGATGACCACCATGAAGAAGACATGGATATGAGTGACTGAGTCCCTCCCTGAAGCTGGCTGCAAATGGGCCTCGTTATCAGTCCTGGTGATAACTAATGCTGTGTGTGTTCATCTCACCTAGGTGTATACAGCTGCACATTACCAGTGGTTGCAGAACACCCAATTGTGACCTCTAGTTCTTTACAGCAAAAGCTTTTAGAAAGTGGTACCTGGGTGACCAGCACTGCCATGGTGATATCCATTTGCGTGACCAAGCAGCTGTGCAACTGCTGCTCCTAACACAAATGAACAGCTGCATGCATCTCCAGCAGGCATGGATTGTCTGTCGTATGAGCCTCAGTGCGTTCACTTAGAGTATTTCTAGAGTTTGAGTCCTTGCCGTGATAGAGCCATGTAGGGAATGCACTGATTGCATGTTACCCCAAATGTCATGAAACCCTCCAACATGGTGACCTAGTTAATGGTCTTATTTGTTGACATGACAAATTAACATTCTTAGAGTTACATCTGGAAACAAGCATTTGTGATAGATAAGCCTTTTGAGCCTTGTGGCTAAATTTTTGTGGCTTTGTTTAACTTTCAAAGGTTATATATGCACTAACCTTTTTTGATGGCTAAGTAGGCTTTAAATTACAGAAAATTCAAATAAAACTGGCTGTAAAAATATGTTTTGAATTAGAGTTGTTCACATTTCCATAGCTACTTAGTTTTTTTTCCAATAATTTATTTCACATCTCTACCAGTGAACGCAACCTGCTTATCCAGCCCATCACTAAGAAAATAACCTCGTCCTGATTTTCAGTTTTCAACTTTTGTTTAGTTTTAAAGCTCACTGTTGAACAAGAGGTGGTGGTGCATTTTAAATTGACCTTCATGTGCTTTTAAAATATGACAAATCTTGATAATGTACTTTTATTTGATCTCAAGTTGTACAAAACCAATAAACTTGTGTTACTTTGATTGCAGTAGTATCTTATGCACAGTGATTCCATGTTATATGCAGATTAGGTAGGTAACTGTTTTCTTAGTTACAGGAGTTAAAAGCTTGACTTTTGTGCATTAAAAGACAAAAGTAGGCTACCGTCTGTGCCATGTTGATGTACAGTTTCTGAAATTGTTTTACAGGACTTTGATAATAAAACCCTTAAACTCACAAGTCATGCGCCTGTAGAACTGCATTGTGTTTATTCCCACGTTGAATGTATGTCGTTACCTCATTGGTTTCCATGTTGGTTCTTTCCCTCCATGTTGGTTCTTTCTTTCCCTATCTGCATGCTCAAACTCAGTAACTAAATGAAGTACACCTCCTGAGGGTAGATGTCAGCAGAATTGTCAACAATAACATCTGTCTAAATTATGGCTTAACTTGTGTTTGGATGTAGGATGTAGGACTGGGGCCATGCAACAGTGTCTTGGGGATAAATATAACCTCACCTATACTTACCCAGTAAATTTATGTTTTCAATGAAATTACAGAAATTTGCTTTTTCTGAAATAATATGGAAGTTGTTGGTCACGAGTTTGTAACGTATTACAATACTAAAGACATAAATGGCTAGTTTTGGTGGCTGACAGGGAGATTGAGAACTGGGGTTTGTAGTCTTCAGGTTTTGAGTATAACTTATTAAATTGAATGCTAAATAGAAAAGCATTTGTACAGTTTGTAGTTGAGTAACTTTTTAAAGATTTTATGAGCAGGAATTTGATCTATGATAAATGCATCAAATTCCATTTATGGTCTGAATAGCCACTACATTTTTAAAACAGCTGAATGTAGGTGTCATTTGCTTAAAACTTTAGTAGATAAATTTGTGGCAGTATGACCAATTCTGTAAGAAACAAAATCTGACAGTTCCCAGGGCAAATCAATATCCAGTTTTTCCATTGCCTGTGACGTCTTAATGCAGACATTCACTTTTCTACAGTTTGTTTTAAACTAGTGCCACTAACTTAAGATGTCGCCAGAAGGCAGCTTTATTTAGAACATTTCTTTGGTGAAGTCTGCATAAAGTTGGTGCTGCACTGGCCTGGCGTCCCCCATGCCTGTTAGCTGACTGAAACAGTTGGACCCAAGTGGACACTGCCACCACACTGAGTTCTCTTCTGTATTTGGTGGTAAAGTGATTTTAAAATAAAAGTGGTTTTGTTAGAAAAATGTTTGTCCTTATTTATTTTGCTTAGTTTTTAGTCATGAAAAACTTAATTCATGAGAGGTGGTGTTCCCATGGTAAGCCTCTGAGCTGGAGGGCAAGCATTGACTGTAGAAAATTTACCTGGGTTGGTGGATGGATGGCTGTTCCTATTTTAAAACTGATCAGTAACAGGGAGTGCCGAGTTTTCTTGGGTGGCACCTTATGGGAAGAAGAACTCTGACCGCATCATGTCTGTAAAGAAATGTCTGTTCAAAAAAACAGTTTATTACTAGGTTATTTTTGTAGAGTGTTATGCCACTAATGTGAGAAGGGTGCTTCCCTTTAAAACTCACTGGTAGATGTATTTTTCTTTCCATGAGAAATTGAAGGTAAAGGGTCCCAATTAGAGTGCAACAAATCTTTAATAATCAGGATGTTATCCCAAGATCAAGTTTTTACTTTTCTTAAGTATAAATTGACTTAGCTCAATTTATACTTAAGGTAAGTGTAATTTTTTAGTACTGGGTATTTTTTTAATGCCCATCATCAAATAAGCAGAAGCTTTAGTTTGTAGGAAGTGAATTGATTCCGGTGAATCAGTTCTGTTCCTGATGCTGCAGGTGGATCCAAGCAGTTGGGGAGGAAATGGCAGAGCAGACTGAAATGGCCTGCATCTTGTTACTTGTGACTTTGATGTGTAGGTCCAGCAGACCTGCTGCTGCATCCCAACTTTATGTTGCTCTCCAAAGCTGTTCCAGTCAGGATCATGCTTCAGGTGGGAGGTGGCATTAGTCTGTATTGTTACCTGTTTTCTGCTCTAAAGTCATAATCGCTTGAAAATCATCAAAGTCTGATGACTTGAGGCAGCTGACTGGACTCAACGCCTGTAGACTTGCGTGCACTGAGGTTAGAACTGTTCCAGAGCAAGCTGAAGGGAGCAGCTTTTTGTTTTTACCTAAAGTTAGCCCTTTGGTTCACTGAGACCTAAATGACTGCTGACATGCTGTGAAACTTATAGGTGGTAGCAGCTAATGTGACCTAAGGTTTCTGGCACGGAATGTTTTTATAAACCTGCAGCTTAATAGTTTACCAAGTCATGCATAGCTGATTCTCTGTGGGTAAATTTTATTTAGTGGTCTGCCAAGTGGGTCCAGTCTCCCAGGAGACAAAGAACTAGATCTCTATCTGCTGTAGACTACCAAAGTGCTACATCTCTAACTACTTTTTACACATTTTGACATAGGGTCTCATTAAACTGTTCTCTTGATCCTGCTGCCAGTCTCCCAGATAGCTGGAATGGACTACATGCATGTGCCACTACACTTGATTTGAAAACCCAAATTTTACTCATAAGCTTTGTATTGTGCTGTCAGCTAATACTCATGCAGGCTTCCAACCATCAACATGTATTAAACTGAGCCATGATACTTGTAATATACACTTTATTAACTGCAACTTTCTAAAAATTCTCTAATACATTAGTTTCCCTCCCTCTTCCCAGTCCCTATCCCACAGATCCACATATCAAGGCTGAAAGAAGCAAACCAGTGGGTGGAAAAGGGTCCCGCCCACTTATGCTGTTAGTCCTACAAGAAAACCAACTACCAACTAGCTCAGACCCATACAGATTCCAGTCCCTAGGAACCCTGGTTAGTTGAATGTGTGGGCCATGTTGTTCTTGTGGTGTCCTTGACCCCTCTGGCTCCCACAATCCTTCCTCTCCCTTCTGATTCCACCTAATGTTTGCCTGTGGGTTTCTGCATCTGCTATCAATTACTTGATGCAGCCTTCTCTAATGATTATGTTAGGCTCCGGTCTACAAAACTGCACAAGAATTATCTACTAACGACAGGTCACATGAATAGTTTCTTGAAGATGGGAACCACAAATGGAACCCTTACTACTTTTTAAATTTAAAAAACAGAATTTTACATATCTACATTTTAAAACATAAAACAATACTGATTCTTAATTTCAATAACAGGATTAAAAGGCACATCATGAAAATATAATTGTGAAAAGTTTATTTGCATTAATTATTAACTCCTTTTTCTCCACCATCATAAGAGATACATTTGTTCTTTGTGATCAGAGAAAAGACATTTTGGAATGGACAATCTGATTCTACTATTCATTAAAGAAAAATTGAAGTCTTAAAACAATCCAGTGCAACGATTATCAGTAGTACAATCCAGTGCAACGATTTTCAGTAGTCCTCCTGTCTCCAGTGTAACCCAGCAAAATATTCACATGGTAAGAAATTCTAAGTCTCAAGTTGCAATTTACCATCTTTTCCTACATGGTCTACAGAGTCAGGGAGCCTATAGCAACAGTGGTCACTGCCCTTCCGAACCTCAGGCCTCTCGACTGACAGCACAACTCAATCACCGAGTCACTGGAGCAGCCAAACCTCCATCCAATCAAGCTAGCTCTGGGCTTCTTCCGGATTCTTAAAATTATCTTACTGGAGGGATTAGGGCTTTGAATTTGTAACTCTTGATATTTTTCTTAAAAAAGTAATAAAATGTCAACATACACAAGGTGGAATCACTATGTGAGATGTAACCGTAGAAAGATAAATATCTGATGGCTGATTCTTTGAGTTTTTAAACAAGTCAACCCTTCAATAAAAATGTTTAAAATCTTGGTAACAAGTTTAAACTATGGGTCACTCTGTAGCAACCTGACAGGCGCATCCTTGACACATTTCATCAGGACAGTTTATAAACATTTAGCTAAGTCTTTAATAGACCATGATACCTTATGACTTAGACATAAGTCTCCCTAATTTCTTTTCATTCTTGGACCTTCAAACCATCTTGTAATAAATATGAAAAATTTAAGTGCAAAAATGAATAATGCATGATTTTAACACTTTGGAGACAGAAATCAGTAAATATTTTCCTGTGACTTAAGAAAAACTGTCAATCTTGCATGTTTCTGGACTTTTAGCCTGTAACAAATATATTGTAGCATATAAAATGTTTTTACCTTATTTTGAAAGCATTACATAGTTGTCCAAAATATGTATTTTTTAAAATTGACACCAATACATCCATATTCCATTAAAAATAATCTGTCTTATGTGCACTTACTAGGAAGCAAGTTTAAGAATTTGGAATTTGTTTTAAAGTGCTGATACTTGAGAGAGGGCTAGCTGTAGGCATGTTACCGTACCTATCAACAAAACAAGAACCTTTATACTCAAGTTTAGGAAAACAAAAACAAACAAACAAAATAAGAGGTTCTATGAAAGGAAGATCAGTAACAAACAGTTTCACTGAAAAAGGATTCAGATAAAACAAAGAGCACCACGCTGCGCTGCATGAAGGTGCTGGGGGGCAGGGCACCGCATTCCCTGCAGGGAGCACTCCCTTGGAATGCATTGCAGCTGTAAATGCAACTGTTACCGAGGTGCTGGGGGGTGGGGCACCACATTCCCTGATGGTTACCATTGCTCTGTTCACCTCGGAAAACTCATTTCCTTCTAGTTCATTGAACATTCAAATTAAAGAATTCTACATAATGATGAAAACAAAGTTTAAAGAAACATTTATACATGGCACCCTGGAGAAAGGTGACATGGTTCAAGGGATTTCATATCTCTTAAGACACTGAATTTACGTTAATGGTCCAGGAGTGTTTTAGATATAGCTATAGATATATTTATATGCATATATATTCCAACAGGAAGTGTAAAAATCTTTAAAAACAAATCACAGCACTCACAGCTGCTGTACATAGGAAGGTCTCAGGGTCACTGGGTGTCAAACTATGACAGACAGGAAGTGACTTTAAAAAGATGAATGGCACATCAGGAAGCTCCAGACGTTTTATTAGAGGTCCATTTCTCACCACATCACTGATGTGTAGACCCTCTGCTCTGTCCCTGCCATCTGGAGCCTCTTGCTCTTCTGGGTCAGTCAGTCAAAGGTCAGGAAAACGACTTGGGTCTTCCTTGTAGTCTTCAGGGATGGCAAAGATGGACCCATCAAATTCATCACATCTGAACTCCTGAAAAGTCACAGTGGCTGTGATGGTGGGAAACACGGGGATATCTGGAGAACAAATGGTGACATGCTGTCAGATGCCCATCTGTGGCATTCCGTCACAAACCTGCACCCACCAAAGCCTGTGAATTGGGGGCCTCGGCTGCCCCTGGGCTGCTTTGACTTCCGCAGAGGCACATCCCCAACTTTTTAAGTGGGGGCACCTTGTCTGCTGGATAACATCACACTACGTGAGCACAGCAATGACATAAGTTAGTTTCTGGCCCACATGGTAAGTGAATCTGGAGAGTACATTCACCTGTTCTGCTCATCTGATTCTGAGCTCGTCTGATTCCTAATGACCTTTCCTCAGGGACATCACATTTCATCTATGAACAGTCTCTGAAGTAGGTCTATCCAGCCCAAGAGTCTACAATCAAATTACTGTTATATGATTAGTATTCTGTCTGCAGAGCACTCTCATGTCAGAATCAGGAGGGGAAGTTCCTGAGACATCACCACAGGCATCCTGACGCTGCTGACTTCCACTGCTTCCTAGTGTTGGACAGTCTCATGGGAGTCAGCAAACTCAAGCCTTCTGACTGGACTGTTTCTGTGTGGCTTTTAAGAGTTTCCCTAACCCAGATCCTTAGATTTCTTTTACAAGTTTGCTCATTTCTTTAAAAAGTTTGGTACATTTCACATTTAAGACTATGACCTTTAACTTTTGTGCAAACTAAGGTAGGAAAGGAAGGCTGGGTTTCTTTCATTTCCTTTTTCTTTCTTTTTTTTGTGGGGGGGTGTTGTTATTGTTTTGTTTTTTGAGACAGGGTTTCTCTGTATAGCGCTGGCTTTCCTTGTGTCCTGGAACTCATGAGATCTACTTGCCTTTGCCTCTGGAGTGCTGGGATTAAAGGTGTGGGCCCCCACACTCTGGCTGGCTATTGCCATTTATGGAAGTCCCACCACCTCACCATGTGTAGTAGAAAATTTCTCCCTCCCTAGAGCTGAGATTAAAGGCGTGCACCACCATCCATCTGTCATTTTCATGTGTGTATGTGTGTAAGGCTGCTTGAGTTTATGTGTTCTGCAATGAAGGATACTGCACAAATAATAAAAACCAGAGACAGATATCGGGGTTAAAACTGAACATCAGAGAAGCAAAGCAGCCAACTACTAGTTCTCACCTCTACCAATGCTCAGACCAAAAGGGTGATCCTGTCCTCAGACTGCATCTCCAGACTGCACTGCTCCTCAGACTCACTCAGCTCCTGTCTCCTCTCACCTTATAATCCTCTCTAGTGCAGGGATTAAAGGCATGGGATCCCAAAGCTGAGATCCCCTTTGTGTGACTTCTGTTTCTCTTTTAGACTGGATTAACTTCATATAGCCCAGGGTGGCTGCCTGTCTCCTGAGTGCTGGGATTACAGGTGTATGCCACCACTGCCTGGCTCTGTGGCTGTGGACAGCACAGAAGGGAGTGTGTTTAGAGAAACCTCTGGTCCCTCTGCATACCTACACCACATGTCTGCAGTGCTGGAGACATGGAGTTAGTTAGGATCAACCCATGGGGAATAACTACTAATACATTATGGTTGATTCCTTGTCAAAACAGTTGAGCTGTTATGACCCCCAAGTTTGCCCTCTTAGGGTCTCTGCAGGGACATCTACCCAAGAATCACCTGCCCTGAGAAAGAACATCAGAAACTGACCACCACTTCCCAGCTTATGGAAATCTGTTGACACTCAAGAGGTACGAGGTTAGAAGTAGCAAAATTATCACCCTGATGATAATGCTGGTCTGACATATCGGCTCTATAACTACCAGTGGGTTCCTGCTGCAGAAGGCAACCTGTGACAGTCACTAGGAAGGACCTAGTAAACAAATGCGGATTTCTACTTCCTGCTTCCCATGCGAATACTGAATGATTCATTTCCTGCAATTTGGATAGGAACTATACCTCTGCAAAGGCTTCTTAAGTTTCTTGTCCTTACTGGTGCTGTGCAGTCTACATCTCTTGTGTTTCATTGTGTATCTCAGTACCTGTTTTAGTGACTGAAATGTTCACACACGCTCCTGCAGGAGAGTGCTCCCATGTCCTTTATGTTTACTTTCATTTAAATCAGAGATATCAAAACTTGCATCAGGCACTGTATTCTCAAAATTTTTATACATATAACAAAAAAAAAAAAAAGAAACACCAATGCACTTAACAAGAAACCTTGAAAACAAAACAACTGGTATATTCATTGCCCTTTAAAATATATACCTTACTAAATTTGAATTTAAAAAAACAACACTAAAATTACACCTGATTTTTTGTCTTACCTAATTTTACAGGAAAGCCTGGAGGAAGCTTCATTTGAACAAATTCTCTAAGCTTGTTAAAGTGCTTGAAGGGTGCTATTACTTCTAGAACATTCAATAATCTGAAAGATGAAAGAGTAACAATGTTTCCATGGTTAAGTCCTTAAAGTTGTTCTTGAACTGCACACCTCAAACCAGATAAACTGAGGCAGATTAACTCCTCAGTGCTTCTGGGATGCAAGACTGAAATGAACTTCTACTTTCATGACCGAGCTTCACTGTCAGATTAGAAGGGTTAATCTTAGTACTTACGATCCTGGCTCACATAAATTTCAGATCACACCACCAATCCCTCTGCTTTCGATTCCAGGGTTCTTCAGTGTCCTGGATCACAGAGTCACACAACAGCTCCTGTGATCCTCTGCCTGGGTTATCCCAACACCTACTATTACTGTTCTTTCAACAGGGCATATCTCCCAGTGCCTTGCTGTGTAAGCTCAACACACATTAAATCACTGCTCTCCTTTACTGAGTAAGCAACAGCTGGACGAACATAAATCACACTGTTTTCCTTTACCTTACTTTTTTTCTAAGACTGAGAGTTGGTCCCAGGCTCTCATGAATACAAGGCCAGCACTCACTACTGAGCTTAATCCCAGGACTCAGGAGGTAGAGGCAGGTGGATCTCTGTGAGTTGAGACCAGCCTCATCTACAAGATGTAGTTCCAGGACAGGCTCCAAAGCTACACAGAGAAATCCTGTCTCAGAGGGAGAAAAAAAACATTCTTGAGATATATATTCTCACTAACTTGCCCAGGCAGACCTTGAGGTTCTAATCCCCCTGCCTCAGTCTCCCAAACAGGCCTGAGCATAATTTACCCTTTCCTATGTGTCAAACACTATGGGTGGGTGACGTCTATGCTTTCTCTGACCAAATGCTTTAAATTTGTTTCTTAAAAACTGAGGATTAGGCTACAAACAGAGGCCATTGTAGAATGTAGAATAATTGCCCAACATGAACAAGGTCCTATGTTCAATCGGTAGCACTACCATAAACAAACAAACAAATAAATAAAAATATCCCGAAGAAGCAAAACGCAAAAGTTTATCTAGAACCAGGTGGGGTAGTTCACACCTATAAATTCACATGATCCCAAACTCAGGAGCCTGAAGCATGAAGACCAGAGAAGTTGCAGGAAAGCCTGGGCTAGAGCGACGTCCTATGAAAGCAAAGCAACCTTGTAATTTAAAAGGGTAATTTTCTATGCTGATTGTTCCATACCCACTTTGGAATCAGATGCTATCTCACAGACTCTGTCCTTCCCTACAGAGACATGTCTATCCCATCTCCAACACTAGCTCAGCCACACTTGGAAGCCAGTTCTGTGCTCAGCCCAGTCTCTGACCCTTTCTCTGCTGTCAAGATTTAACTTCAGCCACATCATCAGCTGGGTCTGCTGCATCTGCTCTGTGGCAGTGCTATTCTCTGCTCAGTTTAGTATTCCTTTGGCCTTTCCATCTCTTTTTCATTTCATCCTGGTGATCTAGCTACACTGATTCTATGTTCTCGATGTCTTTTTCCACAGCAGTAACAGGGAATTTCTTTTGCTGTAAAATGGACTCTTGTCTATTTCCTGTATGCAGTAAGTATTCCTTAATTTCCTTTTTCCTAGGACACATGTACTAACACATTTATTTCTCATGTCTTAAGGATCTCCGGAGTTAACTGGAAGCATACTATCACATCAGCTGCATTCCTTTGTTAGGAATGCAGAGACTCAAGAGGACCCAGGTATCTCCCGTCTGCTAATACCCTTTTCTCATTTGCCTCAGCAGCTCCCCATGTGTGATCTCTAGCTTACATAGGGGCTCTATACAACATCCTATCTACCCTTCTACAGTTTGAGGGTGACAAAGGCAGGGAATGTGATCAGATTTTGTTGAAAATTATAGATCCTACTTGCTTCTCCAGGAGAAAAAAAAAGTCAACCTATTGGACCAGGTTGAAAGGAGGGGAATGAATTAAGGGAAAATACTAATAACTGGGTCCCTCAAGTCCTATCCAGCCACATTTTCATAAGAAGCCAAGAGCACAGCCTGTCAAGGATGAGCTGAGTGCCCATCTCCCTGTCCACACATCTCTCCAAACTTAGGGTTTCTAAAGGAGCATCTGGTGTAGACGGGCCCGGAAGGGTATTTCAATGTGTACACCGCAGTACAGTTTTCAGTAGGGACGAACTGAAAACAGAATGTTTGCCAGTACATGAACAACAAAACAATGACGAGACTGTCAGCACTATAAATTCCAAGAAAAAGAAAACAAACAACAAAAAAGACAATGTAGTTACTGTTGGAATCCAGACATCCTGGTTCATACAACACAGAAATGTGTGGTCGATTAGGATCACTCTCGGGTTCTGCATTCAGAAGTATAGTTAACAAGACAGTCTAACTAATGTGCTGAAAGAAAGTATCTTTTAACTCTACAAATTTATATGCTTTGAGTTTTTCTATAAGCGTGTATTGCTTTAATAATTTTCTTTAGACTATTCAAACTTTATCTATAGAAAACGATACTTCTATAAACCAGAAAATTTATGGGCAGGTGCACAAACTCTTGAGCCAAGATTTGCCTGCTTTTTTTTTTTTTTTAACATTTTAACACCTCAGCTGCAAACAGTGGTGGCTGCCAGGACCTTCTGTAATCAACAGTGCACTTACGACTCAATTCCCAGGGGAAATTCCTGGCTCATGGCTACAGTGGCTTTAAATGTCTTCTTGCTCTCTTTGCACACCAGTTCCCTGCCCAGGTGTGGTGCCCTGCAACAGAAAGAGCAGTGTTAGGGAGCCTTGCTCAGAACTCATCATTCTCCATCAATACTCACCAGTACTCAGGGTTAGGGTTAGTCTACATATTATGCTAAAGACAAAATTTAAGAAATGAGACAAAAAATAGAGTTTAAATGTTCAGAAACAAACATCAATGCTCAACCAATTTCATGCTGAATAAAACAATTTTAATAATAAACACTACTTCTAGGAACAAAGAAAATCACTATGAAAATTAAAATTAGTCTCTTGCCCTGTCTACTATAGTATCAGCATTAAACAATAAAAAAAAAAAAATCACTGTGACTAAAGAATTCTCTGTACATATGCATTTGGTATGTGTGACTACACTGAGGCAAAACCTCACTCTAATAACACAGAATGAGCTGAGTGTACAGCTGAGTTGAAGAAAGCAGAAATTATTTCAAAATTATTTCCCTCACAATGAGCCAAGAGAAGACCTTCCTTGTTCAACTGAGTTGTATGACTGGGCTTTCATGCCCTGTTTCAAAGTTCTGTTGAATTATCTGGCATGTGCCACAATACATGACAGTTTCTCTGACCTGAAGTAGCATCTAACAAAAGCTAGTCCAAAAAAAAAAAAAAAAAAAAAAAAACCAACAACAAAAAGTCACTTGCAAAAAGACTATGCCCAATGCTGTAAAAAGTATGCCCATCCAACGCTTAAACACCAGAACAGATTGTGGAAAACCTGCAATCATGGCACGCCTTTCAATAAGACAAAAACAAGGCAGCTTCTTCCTGAGCACAGTGGAGTGGGTGGGAGGGGTACATGAGGGGCTATTTTATTCTCCACCCAAAGGAAGCATAGGTGAACCATAATAAACATTCATTCGTTCATCCACAAACTGTACTCATCCACCTCTCTTCTAATCAATACGTGTGTAAGGAACAGTGATGCTGTGCCGACTCCTCTCCAAGAGCTCCTGATGCAGTGGTAAGTAAAATTTTATGGAAAGATGCTGAGAGGTCAATGAAATGAATAATGACGAGACCCAGCTTGCAAAGGCAGAGAGGAAACAAACTGGATGTCTAAAGCATCAGCACAGCTGACAACAGTCTGCCAGACATGGGACGCTGAAAACCAGCGCTCCCTTAAAACACGCCCTACAAGGGTCTCGCCTGCCATTTGGTATGTGTGACTGACAGGGGGATGTGAAAAGGCTCTAGACTCGGTGCACACACAATTTGGGAGGTTTCTTTCTCATGCATACTTTCTATTTCTTAAAGTTAATGCACAATAGCTTCAGATAAAAATACATCAATAATATGCTCTCAAACTCTTGTATCTAAATAGACTGTTTTAACAAATTTTATTCCTAAGAGCCCAAAGAAACATAAACCAAAACCACCTACTTTCCATTTTCAGCAGAAATGTATTCTTCCCACGTAATAGTGTTCTGAGGAGGAGGGGTAAGGGACTGTCTTCTAACCGGCTGCCAATAAGAGAAAGAGACAAGTAGAGTGTAGAATGTGGGGTGAAATATATCACATTTTAAAATGTAAAGTTAAAACACACTGAGGCAGGAAAGCACAGGGAAAGCTTAGTAACCCAAGACTCCTCTTGGCTTGAGCTACATGGACCCATTTCCTAACCATGCCCTGGGACCACCTGCAATGAGGTAAAGGTACACCCTACTCCAAACAATGCATAGACTTGGCAACCCGCTCATAACCCCCATGTTTCCACTCAAACATGTCGTAGAATATGTTCAGCTTGGTAATGCACAGCAAAACAGACTGCCATCTGAATGAAGTTTTTGGAAAAACCCTTACTTGCCATCTAATGCCAATGCATGATTCAACATGCAGAATGATTAACATCAGATGCATCATGCTAAAGGGCATACACAAGTAACTCAAGCATGTCAATCAAAACAGAAAGCCACCATACCTTGCTCTAGTCACCAACTCCCCCTCCATAAAAGAAGTCCCAGACACTAACTGTGGCTCCTGGGTACTCTAGCTCAAGTAGGCCACCACTCCTTTGTAGTTTCTGTTACTGTCTCAAAACAAAACTCCTTGCTGCTTTGCTGTTTGTGTGCTTTCCCAATTAAGTAAGAGGTCAAGGGCTTGGACACACTGGATCCAGACAAAACTGCCTCACAAGGTAATCAACTAGGATTGGGGTGTTTGGTGACAGACAGCATGTTAGCATGCCTCACAGAACAGAAGCTCACTTAGAACAGCTGGCTCACTTAGCACCTTCTACATGGCACTTAATGAGGATAATCCCAACGTAGTCGCATGGCAATTTAAGCATTCACACAAATATTTACTAACATTAGCATCAAGCTAACACTACCTCTTCTTCACTGCTTGAGTTATCTAAAAACTCCCAGACATCATGCTAGATACAGAAGCACAGACTGATGCAAACATACTGGCTTCAAAAAAGCATCAGAAGAAAAAAATACATCAACGAGCAGTTCAGCAGGGAAAAAACAAACCACTAAGACACTGGAAGTAGCGCAGAGACCTGGGAAATGAAAGCATGAGGATCAAGTTCATCTTCTACTGCATAGTAAGTTCAGGGCTGTCCTGAACTACATGAGACTCTCCCAGAGAGGGGGAAACACACAAGACAAGTGCATCTTCTACTGCATAGTAAGTTCACAGTCATCCTGAACTACATGAGACTGTCCCAGAGAGGGGGAAAACACAAGACTGAATCTATTCATATTGGCCAGGTGAGAGTACAGGGCTAAATTTTACTGCAGGTTTCTCACAACTTCAAACTCCTGGGTTCAAAAGAGCCCCAGCAGCAGTCTCCCAAGTGCCTAAGTGTCAAGAGCATAGCACTAGGTCAGTCCCCAAAATGATTACAGGTCAAATGAAACCATGGAAAGCAGCTGTACAGACTCCATCTTTTTGGTTTTGTGTTTTGAGATGGGGTCTCTCAATGTAGCCCTACCTGTCCTAAACTCACTCTGCAGATCAAGCTGTCCTCCAACTTAGAGATCCGCTTGCTTCTGCCTCCTAAGTACTGGAATTAAAGGTGTGTCCCACAGCTACCCAGCTTATAGTAACATTTTTAAAGCAAGGAGAATTACAGTGAAGAATATCAATCGATGTTATTTATTTCAACTATGATAAAAAAAACAGCAATAGGAGAGATAATACAAGGAATTACCTGTTAACTGTTTTTAAGGTCAGATTTTAATGTCTGCTAAATATGAGTTTAGATTACTGCAAGATGGATGAGCTAGCAATAGGAACTAAGCTAGAGAGAGGCAGTACAAACTGAAAACTGCTAGGGAAAATAATGTGAACACCACCACACCCTCATCAGAGAAAGGACGGGCCTTTGTTCTAAGTTGTTTTAAAGACGGTCTCAGATAGCCCAAGCTGACCTCAAGCTCACTATGTACCCAACATGACCTTGGACTCCTGATGCTCTGCCTCTACCTCCAAAGAGCTGAGATGAAACATATGTGCCACCTGCCCACCCTCCTCCCACCCTTTTTGTTATTAGTATGTCCCTTGTCAAGGGACACATCCCACTGAGACCTTACAAATGCCTGGAAAGGCCACAGACCCGTGTCCCCAGTAGCAGTGGCTGTGCAGAAGATCCATCCTTATGACAGCCCATAGAAAACAGGAGCTGCCTTGACTCAGAGGAGCTGGATAACGGAGAAGAGCTGATAGCTGGGTCAGCCAAAAGCCGGGGTATACACAAAGCCCAAGTTCTCCACCCAGCAACACATTCATATAAACAAGGGCTGGAGAGATGACTCCGTGGTTAAGAGAACTGGCTGCTCTTCCAGAGGTCCTAAGTTCAATTCCCAGCAACCACATGGTGGCTCACAACCATCTATAGGGGGATCTCATAAAAGTATACACCCAGACAGAACACATTAAATGAATCTTTAAAAAAAATTCAGAGTTTTATGTGGCAATGAATCTGATAACACACAATCATCAAAAGTCCCCCACACATATATTTTAGAAACTGACAAACTAAACTTGGATATTCAAGAATCACAAGGTTAATAACTAGGTTTATACAGCCACAAAACTGAGGCATAAGGATCAGAAATCTGGGGTCTGCTTAGGAAAAACAGAAGATCCTGTTTAAAAAAAAAGACGAAACTAACCAAAATACCCCAAACTATGTTTTTCCTCCCACTGTGACCTGTGATGGGCAGCCTTCAGTCGACACTTCCAGTACCGGAAACTAAGCCAGCGTCTGTCCCAGTACAGCAGAGCCACGTAAGTCTATAGCTCACCAGTATCCTTTAGCATCTGACTAAAGCTGAGGGCTTATACACTTCATGCGCATCAATCTGTTCTGTTCTACAGCCACATTCAGCAAGCTATGTTTTCATTCCAATCTGAAAAATTACAGCTGCTCAAATTGTCATTTAAGGAACCCTTTAACAATTCATGAAATTGTATGAAAGTCAATTTGTCTACTTTACATCTGAATATCAATCAAATCTGTAGACTTAATCCCCATATTGTTTTTCACATACATTTATGTAACGATCATCTCATCGAAGCTAACTGGCAAATAGCCCAGGAATTTCTTGTGTTTGATGGTGTTCCATGTTTTCATCCCCAATATTAGACAAGGGTAGCAATAGCCACCATCACAACAAAACCCGTTTTTAAATGAGGCCTGTCACACTAATCCTGAGGACACCTGGCCATTTTGCTCTAGGGGAAGTAAATAGCCAAGCCTCCTGCCTGCAGCTTCCAATCTTTCTGACTGTAGCTCCAGCACTCACATGTATGGGTGCTTATGAACACATTCACAACCCCAAGACTGTCGCTTCACAGAGGAGCAGTGATTGCCACTATGTGAGATGTGCTTTGGTCATTCATTTTCAATCAGTCTTATTCATACTCTAGTTTAAAAAGAAAGTGGCCATGATCTGGGCTAATTCCATTCTTTTGCAAGGATCCCTATCCTGAAACTTGAGAAATCTCCCCTACAGACTAAGTTATCATCTGAGGATATTGATAGATGAAACTACTGGAAGAAAACAGAGCTTAAGAACCTAGAAGAGATGGCTCAGTGGTCAGATGCACTTGCTGCTCTTTAAGAGGACCCGAGTTTGGACCCAGATCCTTATCAGGCAGATCATAACCCTGTAACTCCAGTTCCAGAAGATGTAAACACACACTTCTGGCCTCTCTGGGGACTTGGTCTCACCATATGCACACATGCATTAAGTATTTTTTAAAAAGCAGTATCTGGAGCCGGGCGGTGGTGGTCAACACCTTTAATCCCAGTACTCAGGAGGCAGAGGCAGGAGGATCTCTGTGAGTTCGAGGCCAGCCTGGTCTACAGAGCTAGTTCCAGGACAGGGTCCAAAACAATACAGAGAAACCCTGTCTCGAAAAGCCAAAAAAAAAAAAAAAAAAAAAAGCAGTATCTGGTTCATATTAGAAATCAGAACCACAGGTAGAACCACGTTCTTTCCTGTGTCTTCTCACTTTCTACTTTCCTTTTCCCAGCCCTTCCTGGCCCCACACTCACTGCACAGCATCTCAATAAGCAGGTGCCCCATACGCAGTTCCCGGGCTGTAGAAGCTAGACATGAGCTATGAAGCAGGTGAGCCTTCAACTGGGTCTTAAAGGCAGTGGGCAACAGGATATGGAGTTTTTAAAAGTTAACACAGGTTTCATGCTTACAAAATGACTTTAATCTATTGACTAATGAGGACTGAAAAATTACCAAAGGTTTCCCCACACTCTTTCTATTCGTAACAAAGACAATGAAGATTTACAGGTAGCGTTAGTGGAAGCGCACCTCAAAGTTCTGCTCCGTTAGGCTTCCGCCTTTGCTCAGGCTCTCCATGATGGCCTTATTCCGCAGAATGTCCTCCTCGCTGAGGTGTTCTCTTCTTTTCCTTGATTCTAGAACAAGTCCATTCACCAGATAAAAGTCTGCCAAAAAGTTTCCTACTCTTTCCTAAAACAAAATCAAATATTCCAAAATGACAGTTTAAAGAAAATTGATCTCGGATCTTTAAAGCACTGAGATCATAAAGTTCTCCATAAATATGTACCATGTAGGTAAAAATAAATATACAATCATTCATTTCCAAACTACAAAAGGGAATTTAAAGCACAAAAGACTTATGTAAATTAACCTGTAAATTAGGCAGTCTAAACAGAACCCAAATGCTGTTTCTTCACTACCTACTCCCAAGCAGCACAAAACAATCTGAGAATCTTACTAAACAATCAGATCTGAGTAACAAGGAGGGGTCAGGGGTAACACTGTTCCCATTTTATAGATAGAAATGCAGAATTAAAATGCACAGTCCATGCCACACTGGACCCTCTCTACTCTGACAGGATAAAACCTCAAGCTCAAGTTACTGCTACTCACTGCTTTGAAAAAAAGAAAACAAGAGTAGCCCTGCTCACTGACACATGTGAATGCTTAAATTGTAGATACAGGCACAGAAACTCAAGTGAAAAAAAAAGGCAGCAAGAAGAAAGCGGGCAGTTCTTTCCAGTAGAGCCTCAACTATCATCTGACACTGACCTGCACCTCAGACCCATGGAAAACTATCTATTATGAACTTACTTGACCTAGCTTCCCATCTTCACCTGTGTCCAGGTTGACTACTCCACCTTGCCATGCCCTGGTATTCCAAAATTATGCATACAGCATATCTCCAGCGCTTCCATACCGCCTTATGAGTCACCAGAAAGCCAAGCATTTTATACCCGTTTCTACCTACAAAATGGGAACCATGGCATACTGACTCCCTCCTTACCTGTCAAAGACTTAAGAAGGTCACCTAGCCGCTGCTCAAGAGCTTTTGGCTGCTTAGTGGTAACACTAGGTGGACAGCAATTTCAATTTTTATCTTCTCTTGAAGTGATCATCTAGTGCTGCCCAGAAGAACAGAGCGCAGACAAGTAAGACTTCAAAGCACAAATGCACTACAATACTGGACCCAAAGCCTGGAGTCCTGAATGCCAATATTACCAAACAGGCTTTGAGGGCTTTGTGTGTCTGGGAACTGATTGACAGGTCTTGCGACCATATAAAGAAGCAATATATTAATTACCCTAAGAAAAATGTCAAGTGCGTGCTGCTCATGATTGGGCCACTGCTGTATCATTCTGTATCATTCTTGCTGCCTGTACTATGCACTGCAAAGGCATGGGGAAAACGAATGAATTCCTTTACGATGGAGGAAATGACAGAAATGCCTACACTAAGACTGCAGGAAAAAGTTGCAGCATACTATGTAACACACACACTGCTAAAAGAAATAAGCAGCACTCGTGTGAGTAGTAGAGGTTCCCACCACACGTTCATGAAACAACCAGTTCCAAAGCCTTAGACACCACTGTTAAAGAGTATCAGTACAAAACACTACACATTACCTATAGATACATATTTATGTGTGAAAAAAAGTCAAAAAGGTCTGCAGGAGTTCCAGGATTATAGACTAGTGGTCACTAGAGTCTTCTGGCTTCATATGTAAAGTGTATGGTGTTAAATTTTGTGATGGTCAACATCCCGTTGTGGTGGCATTTTAAATACAATTAACACTGGATTAACAGGCTCTGGGAAAACAGGCTGGGCAGTGCTGGTGCATGCCTTTAATCCCAGCACCTTGGGAGGCAGAGGCAGGCAGATCTCAGTGAGTTTGAGGCCATCCTGTATACAAAGTGAGTTCCAGGACAACCAAGATTATTACACAGGGAGACCATGTCTCAAAAACAAAAACAAAAAAACAAAAAACAGGCTCTGGAAAAACTATGTGGGTCTCATCCAATCCCCTGAACCTTAACATAAAACATTAACCATTCTAGAACAAAAAGCAATTCTTCAAAACCACAACACAAAACCCTAATATCCTAGGCCACAGATTTCTGACTGGTACCAACTCTCCCCTCAGCATCCAGCCTGTTAGAGTAGTTCAGACCTGCAAACTCCCATAAGCACACAAGCCAATCCTTAAAGCAAGAAAGTCCCCTCCCCATACCACCCTCTCCTTTTTCTTCCCTTTTTCTCAGATTTTACCTCATTCAACCCCAACACCTTTCTCTTATGAGCTACAGTTTTAAGTGAATACAAGGTTTGTTTTTCCGATGTAAAAGCTTACTATGTTCACTTATTACATTCAAACATGTTATTAAAGACATTAAGTCTTTGCCCCTTACCTGATGAGGCTCTTATTGTTAAATTTGTAGCTATTTATTTTATTAATTTATAAGTAAGCATTCGTTTATTAAAATGTTTAATGATCCATTTCTATATAACTCAGGCCAGTTTTAAACTGGAACACTCCTGGCTCAACATTCCATATAGGTCATGTCAGGTGAAACATTTTTAGCATAATTTTAGGTAGTCTTATGTTGTTTCTTGCTGACAGATGTGATGGGAATTATAGAAACTTCCACTGAGATTTAAATTCACTATAGTTTTATAGAGATGCAAGCTTAATATGAGCAGACATATAATACAGGAACTCTAAAGCAAAACAAATTCAAGTGTACATCTCTTCACAGGCCTCTTACACACAAAGCACTAGAAAAAAGGATGAAGCCATGTACAAACTCCTTATGAGAAAGGCAGACAACAAGAGTTCAAATGAACTACACTTTCTCTCTGGGCTTTTCCAAAAATATACACAAACTATCTAACTATGAATTCTAACTACCTATGTGGGTGGGATTCAAAGTAGGGGAAAGATCAGCCTAAAAGACAATTCCTATGTGTACATCATTGATACTACATACCAATTTTTTAAGTTAAAAAAAAATCTATATTTTTACATACTGTTTTATCTTCCCGAAAAAGCCATCCAGTTTGGGCACGTGTGAAAGAAATCGATTTGGTTGATAAAGTTGCAGAATAAATATCACTGCTCATTAAAATATCAACTTCTTCTTCTGTTTCCATCTCTGACTCCTACGTTGGGAAAAGTTAATGTGAGAATCTGGATTCCTTCAAAGATGTAACAAATTTCAAAAGACAAAATATATAGCTTCTAAATAATGTTAAGCATTATTTATTCCAAAACTAGATGCTTACATTTCATATTATTCTCTAGTAACTCAGAATTATGACTAATTATGAATCTTTAAAGCATGGCACATGAAATACAGTATTTTCACACTATTATATAAATAAATGCAACAGACTCACTGTTACTCATTATGGAACTATATGGTCTATAGAACAATTTTTTTTTAATTTCTTTAAGAATTAAATAGACCCGAGACAAAAATCCTATACAAAGGTTTTATTTATTTTAGATGCAGATAAATTAGCCTTTAGTTATTGCTAATATAATGGGGGAAAAAAATCACTGTTATCTGAGTCTCCTTTTTAATAATTTCTAAGAACAATGGAGCTGGCTATGAAGGAGGACAACTTTTATTCCAGAATTTGGAAGGCAGAGGCAAGAATACCTCTATGAGTTCAAGGCCATCCTAGCCTCCACAGCGAGTACCCAGCCAGTCAAGAATTAACATGGTGAGACCCTATCTAAAAATATTAAGAAATAATTAGAAGATCAAAAGAGAAAGCGGGTTTTCCCTTTTTTTTTTTTTTTTTTCTTGGTTTTTATGAGACAGGATTTCTCTGTATTGTTTCAGAGGCTATCGGTCCAGCCCGGCCTCGAACTCACAGAGATCCGCCTGCCTCTGCCTCCCGAGTGTTGGGATTAAAGGCGTGAGCCACCACCGCCCGGCTTCCCAATACTTTTTATTAGAAAAGGAAGTCATAAACATGACCCCTAAAACTTACTAATAACCTTGCGTAAGTTGTGACTTTCCTTTCTTTTAAGATATTTTTCTATACATTTGTACATGCATGGTATGTGTGTGGATGGTGGGGGGGGGGGGGTACATATATGCCATGAAGGTCAAAGGACAATTTTATCAGCTTGGTTCTCTTTCTATCCTCACATGGGATCCAGGGATTGACTTCATGTCAGCAAACTCACACAGTTAATCTAGGACAGAGAACCACATGGTGGGAGTCGGGGAACAAGCAGGCAGATACGCAATGAGGCTAAAACACTCTCATATTAGGTGGAGGCTAGGGAATGAAGGTCGTCCAAAAGTTTGCAATGGTTACAAACCAATGGCTATTTCCTATTCCTCACACCTCACTTTCAACTGTGTAACACTGTTCCTGTGTCACTGGATCTACAGCAATCAGGAGCAATAACCTGGAACTACACCACCACCATCATTACCACCACCCTTACAAACATTACTGCTAATGTACAATGGGTGAAATTAATTCCTGGATAACACAAATACAGTTTTCTAAGTACTTTGGTTATAACAAGGTGAGAAGAATATGCATGTACTTTACATTTCAAATTCTTTATAGGTCATCTTGAGTACTGAACACTGTAAACCCTTTTTTGTGTTCAGACAAGCTTTAGGAACAGAAATCTATCTATAAATCAAGCATCCACCAATGAAAGAGATCTGCTGTTAATTATATTCTCTCAGCAAGCATTTAATGAGCAAACATTGCTTGTTTTTGCATATTACAACAAACTACTAATATCCACTCTTAGTATCTCCAAGAGTTTGATTTTGGGACTCCTCAGAGATACCAAAACCTGAGATGCTCTGGTCTCTAGCACAAAATGTCATGACGTCTGCACAAAGCATGCACGCATCCTCACATGACATTAACACTATCAGTTCAGACAGCACAAACATCACAATAGTCTGCAAACAGGAGGGCCTACTGCATTCCTCTTCTAAAGACTGCTGGTCAAAATCTAATTCCCTTGCATCTTCAGAATCCTAACATAAACACATCCATATATATTACCGCTGAGCATCATCACTCAAATACCTTCAGCAGAGGACACACATACAGACTTGTGAGCATCACTGCTCTGGTGGCCATAACACTCATGTCAGCTAACACTTGCTCTACTGCTCTCATTTCTGGCTTCTCTTTCAGTGCTGTGTTTGTGTGCCGAACTGACTACAGCTGCCACTTACGCAAAGATGTCAGATTAGCTAATAAAGACTCTAAAACAGATTTCAGCAGCCTCCATCTGGCGAGCCAAATTCAGTTGTGGCCTTTCTACACTGAGTTGCACTGAACATGGCTGTGCTCACCTTAGACTGTGTGTGGCTTACAACGCAGTTAAGTGGCTATAATGTTCTGTCTAGCTCATGAGTGTATCTTAAAAGTCCCAATGTGTCCCAGATCAATCTATGGTGTGAATTCTGAGTTAGGTACCAAACAGAGAGAAAGATGAAGAGGTTGGCTGGGGGTAGGGCATATAAGCAAAGTTTTTTCTCTTTTTAGAAATATAAAGCTCAGGCCAGCCTCAAACTTGCTAAGTAGCTGAGAATGACCGTAATTTACCTCAAACTAGCAAATGCTGGGATTACATGTTTTTTAATCATACTGTTTCATGTGATCAAACCCAAGACCTTATGCTGCTGGCCAACAAACCATACCCTGGCACCTGATTTGAGATATAGTAATAGCATAAATAGAACTGACTACTCTTGCAGAGGACCCAAGTTCAATTCCCAGCACCCACATGGCATTTCACACCTCTCTGTAATTCTAGTTCCAGGGTATCCAACACCCTCATCTGGACTCTAGAGGAACTAGGGACACACAAGGGTACCCAAACATACATGCACACAAAACACCCATACATGTAAAATAATAAAATAACTTTTTAAATTAAAACAAAACAAAGAAAACCATAAACACAATGGTCACTTGGCATGGAAAACTTAACACTAAGTAGGTAACCTGGTCCAGGTCCAGGAAATAGAAACATCACAAACAAAAAAGGAAGCCTTAAGTAACCTGGCACGTGTGGATACCTATAGGTTTACTACGAGGTTACCTAAAACAGCAAGCCAAGAGAAAGGCTGGAGAGTCAGTGGAAGTGAGGTTACATGAAAGGAGCCAAAAATAGTTGCAATTTCACCCTTCAAGTGATACAGACTTTAATGTCTTAATAAAAAGGGCCCATGACCTTATTTTCAAAGTTTAATGTGGAACACATTAAGCGCAGACAAAAAGGAGCCAGGAAGGTCACATGTAAGGCTTTCATAATACTTTAAAAGGAGAGATACTGAAAAAAAAAACAAACAACGAACCAGACATGAATGCTGACATAATGACATAAGGAAAGAAAAGAGCAGGCATGTTCTCACAGAGGTCATCAGTCTGAGAGGTTTCTAGGATAATGACACCATTCACCCAAAGAGACGAAGCAGTTCTGAGGAAAACAATGAGTTAGGTGGTTGTTCTTAGACAGTGTGATCTTAATTTGTCTCTCTGATTTACCACACAACCTAATATCACCACCCCTCAAATGAGTAACTGTAAAATCTTCTCACATGATTTCACTGACTCTGATTTCTAATTCATTTCAGACACTGGGTAATACTGGAGCTGCCAGCCATCACCTGTACACTTCAGTTTCCTATCTATGAAACAGAGACTAATTTGCATATGTTATTTGTGGCATAAAAAACTGTAAAGCACTTAGATTATAAGCCCAACATTAAGGGTCAGATGACTACAAGACCTGTCACTACACCATGTCATCCACAGCACCTGGCAGCTCCTAGCTGTTTTGGCATGTGTAATGGGGGGGGAGAGGGGATGAGAAGGGAAAATGTATAAAACAGATTCACCAAAATTTGGTCAAATGAATACCTTATTAAAACATCTGTGGCCCCATGTTGCTGACTTCAGCAGACTGAGGTAACTTTTCTGGCTTAAGCCTTAATACTTTCTTACTCACTGTAATCAGAACTTTGTCTCAAATGATCTGCTCTTGACTTCATTCACCTGACTCCTCTCCAAAGAATACCCTTTCTTCTACTTCCTTCTTTTCTCCTGTGAATCTGCAATTTCTTGGCATGAGTTAGGAAACTATTTCATTAGTGCACGCACAACATTAACTCTGAAGGCCCAATGTAAGACTGTGAGAGAAGAAGAGGCAACGTGATGCGGGAATGACAGAAACCAAGTAAACATGAAGGGAAGAATGTTAAAATCATTACAGGACACTCAGGAGGCTGAGACAGGAGAAGCATTAGAGCCCAAGAGTTTTCCCCACCTCAAAGAAAAACAAATACAAAAGCAACCTGCCCAGCTCTGGTGACATGTGGATACTGCTTGCAACAGGAAAAGGGAACAAGGGAGGTAATTCAACATACAGCAGTAGACAACGTAGACAAAGGGAGAGGCAGAGGTAAAAAAGGAGACGGAGGTGGAAAGTGGAGCTTGTGTTCGGGCACTGTGCAGAAGTCAGTGACAAGACCAGCTCAAGTGGTCAGACAACACAGGCTCAGCACAGGTCTAGGGATCAACTGAACTCTCAGGGTGAAAACAGGTGACTAGGAGGAGGAAAGGTACATGAAAGCTTTAAGAATTAACCATATCAATGACACTTTATGCTTTCAATAAAGCAACTGTACAGAGGGTTTGTTAAATATATAGCACATTTTTAACCCTTTAGGGAAATATTAGTAACACATGCTTACCTCATGGTGTATTCGCTGATACACTTTTTGTTCATTGTCTAATACTACAAAAGACTCAGAGGGTGCAGCATCCCCATTGAAGATGAAGCTTAGATCCCCTCGTTGGCACTTCATGTCAGTAAAGTCTATGAGAGTTGTGTCCAGCCTATAAAGGATGGGTAAGTAAAAATTGACAGAATTTTGATAAAGCTTTATTAACAATTACATAAGCTTTGTGCCTTCTAAAATTCAAACTGACAAGTTAATGCTATAGCCCAACTTAGAATTTATAAACAAAAGCTAAATTTATAATGCTATTAAAATTTTTATTTGAACACGTACACTGTTATCTACATTTCTCTTTTCTGAGCACTTAGTTAACAAGCAAGAAAGAAAAGGTCCCCGCGCAGTGCTACCCCCTCCTGTACCACTGCTTCCTTGTTCGCTGTGCTGCACCTCCACAGGAAAGGCGGAAAGGAGACGGAGACCTCTTCAAGATCACTAGCTCAGCACACTCAAGGTGGGCACAGCAGTATGTGGGCCACTCTTGAACTTCAACATCATTCTGATTTATACCCATATCTTATACCTAAGCACTGACGCAAACCTCAGACTGCCTCTCAGGCTTACCAATCATGTCTACCTATGGCAAAGCTTCAGGCCTTTTTGTTGAGCTTCCCAGATTCAGGCAAACACTGTCTTTTTAAACAATACTCCCACATCCTGAAAGCTTTGTGGATTGCAAGATCTGTTTTAGTTATCGACGTGACAGATTCTAGAATCACCCGGGGAAGAACTGCCTAAGTCAGGCTGGCCTGTAGGATACATATATACATACATACATACATACATACATACATACATACATACATACATACATCCCTCTCTCCCTCTCCCCTTTGCCCACTAAAGTATTTATTCCTCTTTGACCACATCTCTAGCAATTACTTGGCTGCCACAAGATAAACATAAATTCTGATTCCTCTGCTAATGTATTTTATAACTCAGCCTCTTGATCAGAAGTCCCAAGCATGGGACTCCTCCAGCTTCAGGTTGAAGAATTCTTTTACTCTAGGGAAAAATCTTAGTCACACACCCCACAATCCAGCCTCTGAACTTCCCTGAATTGCCTGCCCTCACCCTTCAACTTCTGCCACAAGCCTCCTATCAGACTCTCAGTCTTGTGTCCATAAATGAGCATCTTCACAGTTTACTTGGTAATGTGCATCCCATCATTACCATTTCCCCACCCCTCAGCTCCCATCCCCCCACCCGGTGTTGGTGATCAAATTCAGGACTTCACACACACCAGGAAAGTTCAGCCTTTACATCGTTTGCTATAAACTTTTTGTTGTTGTTGTTGTTGTTGTTTTTTTTTTTTTTGAGGCAGGGTTTCTCTATGTAACTTTGGAGGCTGTACTGGAACTCGATCTGTAGACCAGGCTGGCCTCATATCACATATCCACCTGTCTCTGCTGGGATTAAAGGTGTGTGCCACCAACGCCCTGACTGTGAAACAATTTGTAAAATAGCTGTTTCTGAATAAACAAGAATCAAATACAACTAAGACATAAAGTGATCACTTAAAAATTAGTCAGTTTCTCTGAATTTTATATAAAACAAATCCATTAAAACATTAATTATAAACCCCTAAATAATCTGGAGATATATATATATACAATGCTATCTACACACACAGTTCACACATATATCTATGATCATTTATAGATATGCAAATTGGAATATTTATTAGTATTAATTTATAAACATACAATTAAAATTTTGCTATATTAGTAAGCCAAAAATATAAGCAACGACAAAGTAAATTTTTAGAATTAGTAAAATACATCTAGTTCTTATAGACTTAATTATCAATCATGTTATGAAAGGAAAAGAACAAAGATAATTAAAATCATCCTGAGCAGCTGGGCAGTGGTGGTCCATGCCTTTAACCCCAGTCCCGGAAAAGCAGAGCAGGTGGATTTATAGATAGTTTGAGGTCAGCCTGGTCTACAGAGCTAGTTCTAGGACAGCCACAGCTACACAAAGAAACCCTGTCTCAAAAACAACAACAACAAGAAACCTTACCATGTTAACTGAAATGGAAAGAAGACTGAAGACATGAGCAGAGAATGGGTGGATAAATGGCCAATAAGACAGGGAAATGAGGGGTGTGGAAGACACAAAGAAGAAGGCAGGATGTGGGACAGGTCCTCCTAACCAAATCCAAGATCAGAGACGCACTGCAGCGCGGCCTTTCCTGATGCTAGCGTCGGCTTGGGTGACAAGCTCATCTTAGCTTCAGAAGGCTTTGGTGGCCTTGCTTCCTTATCTGCAATAGGTCTCACATGAGTAAAGTTATCAGAGTGTGTTACAGTACTTTAGAAAAGTTTCCTCCAGAACTTAACTTTCTTTTACTCAGAAACAAGGTACGTCACCTCACCTGATGTTGATACCTTGCTTGTATATTTTACAGGCATCAGAAGGCAGAATTCGGGAAAGCAAAGGCACTGTAATTTTAGAAACAAAGGGTTAAAAAGCAAAATCTAAGACATTTGAAAATATTTTTAAAAAGCAGTAAACATTTTACTAATTCACCAAATGTCGAAGGTTGCCTTTAGGACAGTATCTACCACTCAGAAACTGCTCAACTGCAGTGTCAATGTACTTTACTAAGCATGCTTTACGTCCATCCACTTCTAAGAGCAGCAGAACTAACTCCATCCACTTCAGGCTGCTGTGTGATACTACAGATGAGAAAACACTACCCTGAGGTCACTATATGGTCCAAATATCATGTGGAAAAACAGCAGAAGAGTAACATATTAAGAGACATCTTTGGAATGAGGCTGCTGAATTTAAGTTTGAATCCCAAATACGTGTCCTTGTTTCTTTGGCTTACTGTGCCTCGGTTTCAAAGTCTGTATAAGAGAAACCACACCACTTACGCACCAAATTCTATCCTCCTAGGTGTGCACACATGGAGAGGTCAAAGGCTGATGGTACACTGTTCTACTCAAATCCTCATGTTCTTGAGACAGGGTCTCTCACTGAACTGGGAGCTCATCAGTTTGGCTAGAATGGCAAGTCTGTGGACTCTCCTGCCTCTACCTTTCTTCATGGATTACAGATACACACTGCTGCATCCAGAATTTTACATGAGTGCAAAGGATCAGAACTCAGGTCCTAATGCTTGAACAGCAAGCATTTTACCGGGTGAGCATCTATCTCCCCAGCCCCTAAGCTGCACTCAGTGATGAGCTGAGGTGAGTACACACGCCCAATGCATTCTGAAAATGTAACTTGCATCAAAGGTATCAATGTTAGAATGTAATTCTTCAAATTAAGTTGTGTTTACCAATCTTCCACGGCCTCCAAACTGGAAAATGCCTACCATTTTTTTTTTTTACTATTAGTGAATAGTTTTTAGTAAAATCTAGAATGACACATTTGTGGACAGTATATAACAAAATGTACTATATATGTTACAGAATACAAATACAGCATATAAACAAAACATAAATGTATGTACACATATATATGCAGGTATTATTTAACTTCCAGGTTACATGCAATTATATAAAATGGAATACACCAGTCAGACGTTGATGGCGCACGCCTTTAATCCCAGCACTCGAGAGGCAGAGGCAGGTGGAATCTTTGAGTTTGAGGCCAGCCTGGTCTACAAAGTGAGTTCCTGGACAGCCTCCAAAACAAAACAGAAAAACCCTGTCTCGAAAACACCAAAAAAAAAAAAAAAAAAAAAAAAAAAGGAATACACTTCACAGTCTTGTCACTATATGATTTCAATAATTATTCTAGGAATAAACTAATCATTTAAATAACCTTTTAACACAAAGGTTAACTCAGATGCTGATAAAAATAAGTTTGTTGCATTCAAATTTATTAAATCTTTAATAAAAATAAAATTAAGCCAGATGGTGGTGGCACATGTCTTTAATCCAAGCACTCAGGAAGATGAGACAATTTCTGTGAGTTCAAGGCCAGCCTGGTCTACAAAGCAAGTTCCAGGATAGCCAGGGCTATTATATAGAGAAATTCTGCCTCAAAAGCAAACAAAGAAAGAATAAAATTTAGTTTTTCAGTTAGCTTTTAAAAACGCATAGGTAATTAATATGAAACTTTGGTTTTGGACATTTTCTCTGAATAGATTCACATTTGACAAAGGTAAAAGTTTCCATTACCATGATAAATTAATAAATGGATGCAAGGTCAAATTTAAAGACTTTATAAATAAGAAGTTCTATGTTAACACAGTGGCTAGAAAAGTACTAGGGGTAAAAATGACTGAAAGATGATAAACTATAAAACATTTTAATCAAATTCTCAGAAATTTAAGAACTATACTTCAAACTTTCTTAAACTGAGTATTCCAATAACTTTACATGTTTTGAATTTCTTTACATTAAATTGTAATATTTAAAGTTTTACTTTATGTACCACGTGCACGCAGGATTCAGAGACCAGAGTGGGACGGGACACCCTGAACTGGAGTTAAAGGCAGTTTGAGCTGCCTATCAAGGGTGCTGGGAACTGAACCTGGGTTCTCTGTAAGAACAGCCAAAGCTCCTAACCACCTAGTCCCAGTATTTATTTAAAAACAAGAGTCACACTGTAGTACAGTAACCCAGTACAGCTTGTCTTAGCATGGCTTTAAACCTGTGGTTACACTTCTCCCCCAGCATTCCTAGGACTGCGACTGCGGATCTAAGACGTACAACTAAACTGCTTTCATTTTCAAGCTTGTTTCTTTACAAAAATTATGTTCAGGAAATTTTCCATCTTAAAGACAAGAATTTTGAGAGCTGCTTTTCTAGCTGGAAATGTGTTACTAGTGGGTTTCACAATGATTATGCTAAACACAATGAACATAAATTTTCTCTAAGTATCAAATGTGTCATGCCAACATATAATTTCATATTTTATAACAAAACATAACACACTCTTACCCCAGCTTTGAAAATCCCAGTGAAGTTCAAGGTAAAAGTCACCTAACTGAGAAATAAAATATGAAAAAATTATTAAATGCATTTTAGTTTAGTTACAAGCTCTGATACTTACCACTTTGCCTATTCAGTCCCCAAAATACCTGATTATCATTTAAGAACTAAAGACTAGAGAAGTAAGAAACTATTCTTATATTTATTATGTTTAGTTTGAAAAGAACAAAACCAGCCAGGCATTGGTGGCACACGCCTTTAATCCCAGCACTCGCGAGGCAGAGGCAGGCAGAGATCTCTGTGAGTTTGAGGCCAGTCTGGTTCAGAGTGAGTTCCAGGACATCAGGGCTACACAGTGAAACCCTGTATAGAACAGCAGCTTCAAAAAGATGTGGCTATCAACCATAATACCATGATATACCTCTTCTAGAGCTCTCGTCAAGTTTATTAAACATAGTAACATCTTCCCGATTCAATGAAAATGTCTCTAATGTTTCTACCAATAACAACCCCACACTTTATAGCCCCAGACTTTTATTTCAATTATTTAATTTAAACATAACTTTCTGTTAGCATTTATTGACCCCTTAACTGGTGAGAATTTAACTGCATTTTAAAAGACTGCTTAAAGGGCTGGAGAGAGGCTCAGAGGTTAAGAGCACCTGCTGCTCTTACAAGGATCAAGTTCAGTCCCCAGCACCCATGTTGGCAGCTCACAACTGCCTGCAATGCCCTCTGCCTCCCTGGGCACTCTACCTACCGCCTACGTAACACACACACACACACTGGCACTCTACCTACCACCTATGTACACCACACACACACACACACACACACACACACACACACACACACACACACACACACACACGAATGCCTTCTAAAAGTACACTTATAATTACTGTGGAGGTAAAGAAGCCCAGCTTACCTCTTTCAGTGCTTTTAATAACCGAGGTCGTTTTTCTCCAACACTCTCCCTGGACTGCTGCTTGAGTTTCCTTAGAAGAGCTGTGACTAGAATTTAAAGAAAACAAACAACTGATTAGTATTTTTCTTTATTTATTCTACAATTACTAATTGTCTACAATGAATGATACTGCTTTCTAAATTTTTTAAAATTTGCATTATATTGTTGGGTGGATGTGAATATGTAACTTGTGAGTGCATCCTATATAATGTGTAGTGTGTGTGGGTGTCAAATGTGTATGCAGCAGTCACAGGCAACTCTGGAGTCAGCTCTCTCCTCCCACCTCTATGTGGGTTCTGGGTGTTAAACTCAGGTATTCCAGCTTGAATTGTTAGGTGGCAAGCACCTTTACACATTAAGCCATCCCGCCACCCGCAATCCTGTTCTTTAAAAAAGAAAAGGTGTAAAAATTTAAAACCTCAGGGTAGCAATAAAAGTCCCCAATATAAAACATTTTACAAAATTTTCTTATTTATGTATATGTGAGTGTGTGTGTGTGTGCACATGCGTGCACACGCGTGCAAAGAAGAGGTCAGAAGACTGTTGGATCCCCAAGAACTGGCGTGACAGGCATCTGTGAGTCATCCCCTCCCCTATACAAGGGGTAGGAACTAAAGTCAGGTCCTCTAAAACAGTAGTAAGAGTTATTAACTGCTAAGATATCTCTCCAGCCCCCAATACAAAATTTTTAAGAAAAAAAACCTGACTAATGGGAAAAGAAGTACTCATATAGTAGTATCAATTTATCTTTGCAATTCTGAGTCACCTAATTATGGGGTAACTGAATAAATCTTAGCAGAGATAAAAATCTGAAAACAACATACACATGACAAGATCTCACAAAGCTTGTTTGTATACGGAAGAACACTGGATAATTAATTAAAATGTGCTAAATAAACAACTGGACACTCTGAAAATGTGTCACAAGAAAAGCCTCCTCTCTAAAAACAGTTTACACACACACAAATGAAGACTGTCAGGTCTAGGTAGACAGCAAATCAGCACAGCCTCTGCTATGCCCAAAATTTAGACAGTGCCCAAAACTACCATAAAAAAAAAATCAGTATTCTATAACATAAACCCACACAAACTATGAACAAGCCCTAGAGACTAAAGACAACCAGAGAACAAGACAACCAGCCATAGCTGTCTACATCAGGAAAAGCTGGGAATTCTGGGAGAGAGGCTAAGATGAAATAAAGTCATTATATTCATTTCCCCCTAGGCCATCATTGCTCACCAGGTAAGCACTTTCAGGTAGGAAAATCCTAAAGTGAAATAAATAGTCCCTGATAATGCTAACAGAAGTTTAGTATTAAGTGATTTTTTTTTCTTTTTCCTTTTTTATGTTTTGGAGACCAGATCTCCTGTAGTTACTATATAACCGAGGGTAGCCTTGACTTCTGATCTTCATGCCTCCACTTCCCCAGTGCTCAAATGCCAGTGGTAAGCAGTGCTGGAAATCAAACTCAGGGTTTCATGAATATTCATGATATGCTATCAACTGCGCTCATTCATAGCCCTGACTGCCTATTGTACAACACAAAACATTAGCAAAATTAGCAGAAATTAAAGAAAAGTAAATCAACAAAGCTTTCCCTAAAAGTATATAATTATTTTTTTGATTTATCCAAAAAATGTAATTAACTATGCCACAGAAAAGTTCAAGGTAACGCAGCTAAATAAAGACCTTTTTTTTCTTTTTTGGTTTTTCAAGACAGGTTCTCTGACTAGCCCACCTCTGCCTCCCAAGTGCTAGGATAAAAGTCATGAGCCACCACTGCCAGAGCTAAATATTTAAGAGCCATGTACTTAAACAGCATCACAAACACAACCTCACAACTGACATTTCTAAATAAATACAACAGGTTCAATCAAGTCCCCTTGAACAGTTAAATATATTTGGGTTTTCACTTCATTGTGTTGTCTGGGTTTCTCATAAGGCAGGGTCTGACAAGAAGTCCGGGCTAACCTGAAACTCAAATCCCTGCCTGTACCTTCCAAGTGCTGGAGTTACTAGAAGTTAAATACTGGTTTTATTGAATAGATTGTAGTGAGATATAAAACTGAATACAGAGATGTCCTAAAATTGGTTTTCTATAAGAAATATTACCTGGCTCTCCACACAGAGGGAAAAACTCAAAATGAGAAAGAATCATGCCTTACTTTCTTCACTTTAATACACATACTTTTACTGTGAACAAAAGATCCTTGGAAATTCCAAAGTCCTCAAGTCCTCACTAGTTTCCCTTTCTCTAATAGCTGGTTAGAAAAATCAAAGTAAGGCCTTCAGACAAGCTACTACTCCATTCCCAGTCTCCTGAATATGCAATTTACCTTTCCCCTTAGCAGTTAATAATTTTATGATGAGGCCTGTTTCTCAATCTTTATAGGGGTTTCTGATTTTGTACACAAAGGACAGCTATCAATGTAAAATAAAAGTACACATGCCAAATTAGCTGTTAAATATCACAGCATAAACATCACATATATACATTTTACAGTCAAATACGGCCTCATCATTCAAATTTGCCCAAGAAATACAGGCAATGCACATATTTAATATGTAGATTACACACAGAACTGAATCCTAAGAAAGTATCTAGAAAAATCCCAAATGTAGCACAGAAGACTACACAGTATCCTCAAAGTACTCAATGTTACACAATTCTTCAATAAACATGATTTTTCTACAAAGCCGTTTTTAATTGATTTTCCCACCTGAACTAGTAAATAACAACAGGATTGATCATCCAAATTAAATCCAGATAATTCTTTCCAATCATCTGGATTAAAGTCTGTAAATTTGTACTTGCAAAAATGAGAAGGCAAGATGGGTATTGTGTAACTGTTTCTTTGGCAATGAAAACATTCTATCCTGCAATAAACTCCTTAAGTAGGAAAGTAAACAACTCAGAATAGCTTCAGGAAGTCCCTGAAATTGACCAGATTCAATGCCAGTAAATAATAAAAGCTGACAGTTTCTCTTATTTGGGCTAAGTCAAGCTGCAAAAAAACTCTCACACAAACAAATCTGCAAAGATGACTCTTCAGACCAGCTCTGCCTGAAGAAGCAAAAACCAGATGAGCTGTCTGAAGGATGTTTAGAACAACCAAGACACCTGGAAAGGACAACCTCCAACCTGTTGATCTGCCTGCAGATTGTGAAGCTTGCTACAAGCTACAAGCTTTTTGAGCTGGGTGGGCTTTGGTGATGCAGCTGTCGTTGAGTCATTGTTGCTCCTTGAGTAACCTCTCACCCATATTCCTGTAAGTAACAATAAAACTCACTGGTTCACCAAGTTGGGACTTTAATGGTATTTGTACCTAAGGAAAAAGAAAAATAGAAAGCCAAATTCTGTGCTTCAGAGCTCTAGGAAGGCGTTAATTCCAGAGCAGCCATTTATCGAAGATACAATTGAAGGCAATCAAACCTGACCCAGGTAATTATCCCTCCAGCAAAAGGTTTTGTTAGGGGTGAAGATGGTTTGGTCAATTAGGAACTACCCCCAACAGCCAAGGTGTACCTGGGAGGTTACAGCTACTGTGACAACCCAAGGTCACTCTGACAGAGGGAGTCAGCAGGTACAACAGCAGGGGGCAGCATTCACCTTTGGCCTTGAGTCAGTCTGAGCAGATTAAATCAGGACCTGAATTTATCAGGTGTGGAGAAATGTAAGGAGGTTCTGTTAAAGAACTCCAGGATATGGAAACATAGTGGTTCAAGTGTGGTCATATTTTGTTTGTGATCTAACAAAGCTTGCCTGAAGATCAGAGTGCAGAGCTAAGCCACTAGTCATAGAAGCTAAGCAATGGTGACATACACCTTTAGTTCCAGCACTCAGGAGACAGAGACAGATCTCTGTGAGTTCAAGGCCACCCTTGCCTACACAAGAATGAATAAGTTTCAAAGAGAAACAGAGCTCACACTTTTGATTTCAGCACTTGCGATCACATGCCTTTAATCCCTGCTCTCGGGAGGTAAAGACAGGATATGAATGGGTGGAGAGGAGAAGACAGGAGCTCATGGCATTCAGTCTGAGGATTCATAGAGATAGGATCATCCTTAGGGCCTGAGGTAGAGGTAAGAACTAGTGGCTGGCTGCTCTGCTTCTCTGATCTTTCAGCTTCCAATCCCTAATATCTGACTCCAGGTTTTTATTATAAGACCAAATAGAATTCAAGATACAGCTCAGAGACTAAAGCAATACATAGCACACAGTTCCTAGCTTTCAGGAAAGTTGACAACCACTGAAAGTAGGAAGTACCGTTAGCACCACAATTAATTTTTATTTCAATTAGTAAACCAATCATTAAGCAGAAGTAATAATTTGCCAGAAAAGATAATAGATTCTTGACTTGAAAAAGAAAAACAGCACCAAATACATTGAATGCTTCCAGGAGGAGATGAGCAGGCTTTCCCACATGACTCAACTCTTCCTGCTACGCAATGTTGGGGTTCCCGAGTCAAGGATAATTCATGTGTACGTTTGCAGATTACTGAGTAGAAGTCAAACCACATAAAAACTACCTCAACACATCAATTTGTATTTTTAAAGTACTGCTTACTCATCTGTCTGTCTCCATAGCTGATGGCTTCCGCCAGAGGGCTCCATCCCTGAGCATTTTTCACCTTTACTGGAGCATTGTGAGCCAACAGTAAATGTGCACACTCTGCAACACAAAATCAGTGATGATTATCAGACATGCAAAAGTCCAAAAAACCAGATTACTACATGTGTGAAATAATGCTGTTCTATATCTAAAAATATAAACTCCCATGTGTATAATCAGGTTGTATCAGTCCCCCAGATTCAAAGGTACCCAATCTACCTAAAAATAGGTTGGATTCTCTCTAAAAATAGTTTCCCATCTCCAAACAATATTAGAAGCATGTTTCCCAAAACTACAGGATAACTAAAAGAACCTCAAGAGTAATTTATACAAATATCTACAATTCAGCTGAGCATGGTGGTATATGCTTTTAATCTAAGCTGGGGAGGCAGAGGCAGAGGCAAGTGGACTTCTGAGAGTTGTTTGGAGGCTAGCCTGATCTGCACATCGAGTTTCAGGATCAGCCAGGGCTACATGGTGAAAAACCTGTCTCAAAAACAAACAAGAAAATATCTACAACCTAAAAAGACCCAAAGGAGACTTTACAAATCTGTCATGTCAATGAAATTACTTATTTCAGGGGAAAAAAAATTTTAAGTGCTTTCAAAAGAAACCACACTGAGGGCTGGAGAGACGACTCAGAGGTTGAGAGCACTGACTGTTCCTTCAAAGATCCTGAATTCAATTCCCAGCAACCACATGGTGGTTTATAATCATCTATGATGAGATCTGGTGTCTTCTTCTGGAGTGCAGGCACACATGCAGGCAGAATACTATAGATATAATAAATTATTATCTTTAAAAAAAAACTAGACCACACACCCTTATCTCTTTGTCACAGTCGGTGTATAGCACTATCCTCCCCTAGACGATCTACAGAACCTATCTTTATGGAAGACATCACTTGTTTTCTACAAAAAGTTTCAATGTAGTCATATCCTACGATTTGTTGTGCACACGGTTTGAGTTAATTATTACCAGGAAACTTTCTGGTTGTGAGCCTAGGCTTTAACGGCTGAGCCATTTCTCCAGCCCAGAGGACATTTTTTTTTCCAAATTGTGCTGTGTTTAAATATGTCTAAACCAAGCTTCTCGGGGTCAGATTCTGGAAGTCTGAACCAATACTGGCTGAGTAGTATTGAACTGTGGTTCAAAGAGGAGCACTATACACCAAGGGGACAGGAGTGATCAGGAGTGAGAATGATCAGAACACATACAAGTTAAGGGTGAGCTCTTTTTAGAAAAATAAGTTATTGCCAATCAACAAGTGACGTAACCAGAGAACAAGTTACACCATCCAGGAAAAGCTCTCAGTGAGCATTCACATGGTGGCCAAGTGTCACTCCAAGAGTATTTACTATTTAGAGTAGAGGCTCTACAGCAGTCACACCTACAGAGAACCACCAATCTAGGGAGAGAACGCAGACGCAGACATGGAGACGACAATGTGGCCCAGCACAACAGAAATGCTTCCACTTTGGTGAACCCGGGCTGAGGCTGTGCTAGGAGGGAGGCATGAAGATATAAATATGGAATTAGCTTTTATGTTTTCTTTCCAAGGCAAGGCTTCTCTGTGTAACCAGGCAGGTCGACACTCACAGAGATCCAACTGCCTGTGCCTCCTGAGTGCTGGGATTAAAAGCATGTAGCACCACTGCCCGACTGGAATTAATGTTTTTTATAATACTATCAGAAAAAGAAATGGTGAGAAGCTTCTTGCTCATCTTTTACAACTGTATTCCAACTGAGTCAGTGTGTTTGCACTGATAACATTACAAAAGTTTTTTATTTTTTATTTTGTGTTCATTGGTGTTTTGCCTGCATGTATGTCTGTGTGCAGGTGTTGGATCTTGGGAGTCACAAAAAGCTGTGAGCTGTCATGTGGGTGCTGGGAATTGAACCTGGCTCCTCTGGAAGAGCAGTCAGTGATCTTAAGTGCTGAGCCATCTTTCCCACCTGCAAAAAAGCTTTTGTTTTTTGGTTGGTGCGTGAATGTGTGCGTGCGTGCGTGCGTGCGTGTGTGTGTGTGTGTGTGCCCCAATGGAGGCCAAAAGAATGCCAAATCTCTTGGAGCTAGAGTTATAAACTCTCAAGTCCCAAAGAAAACTTAATTTAAAATGCTTACTTAATCTAAAAATATTTTAAGGGGCTAGAGAGAGGGTTCCATGGTTAAGAACAATTCCTGCTCTCCCAAAGAATCTGGGTTCAGTTCACAGCACCCATGTTGGGTGACTCATAGCCACCTTTAACTCCAGTTCTAAGGAATCTGACCACTCTTCTGGTCTCCAAGAGCACCAAGCATGAACACAGTACACAGGTATACATGCAATCAAAACACGGACACATAATAGAAAAATTTTTAAAGTCTTCGAAAAAGAGTATCAACACTGTTTGTGGGTCCTGAATCATCTATCCAAGCCTTTCCCAAAACTCATTCCACCAGATGCTTGTCTCTTTAAAAAAAAAAAAAAAAACACTCATGAAGAAGTGGTAATATCAAATAACTGTGGGACACAACTCAACACAATCCTATGCTTGCCCCAACTTCAAAGTCACAGAATGTGCTAGTTTGTCAAGGCTCTAGGGTAAACTGCCAACTTCAGTAATTTGATTTTCTCAAATGGATTTTACCTGGAAACTATTTTTTTCTGGCTACTTATCAGTATCCCCTAAAAGTAATATTTTATGAAGTTTTTCTAGAACATGTTTCCATTTTATTTTATGTGTGTTGTTTCCTGCATGCCTGTGCATGTATGTATGTCCAAAGAGAACACTGGATTCCCTGGAAAGTGTTATAAATGGTTGTAAACTACTATGTGGGTAATAGGAATTGAACCAAGCCCTATGCAAGAGCAACAAGTGCTCTTAACCATTGAGCTCTCTCTCCAGTCCTAGTTAAGTAATTCTTAATGACAAAACTGGAGCCAACAAGATGGCTCACTGGGTGAAGACTCCGCCACCAAACCTGGTGACCTGGTTTTGATCCCCAGGACCCATGTGACAGAAGGAGAGAACCAACTTCCACAAGTTGTCCTTTAATTTCCATACACATACAGAGGCATGCTTGAAGTCACATACATACATACAAATAAATGTTTTTAATGACAGCCTGATGTGAGTGAAGTTAAGCATGGAAAGTATTTACTAACCTTTATTTCCTAACATCACAGCAAGATGTAAAGGAGTGTTTCCTAAAATTGAAAACAAAATTAAATTAGAAGCCATAATAACATAAGAAGTTTTATTTAAATATGGGTTCAGCTCCTTCAGGATTGTTGTCAACAAACTTTAAGCAGAAAGACTTTTGTTTTCTATGATAAACTCAGAACGGAGCAAAACTGAAGCCCAAAACCCCTTTCCTGCCCTGCCCAAAAGCAACCAGCAGGACATTCACTCTCTGACATGTTCCCGCGGGCTTCAGATTCCTTCTCCTGCTCATTTATCATACCAGCCTTTGTCTTTTAGCAAATAATTCATGCATCTACTCGTGTGAGAACAGAAAACAGCGAGAATCAGTCCTAGTTCTTCTTATGCAGTTCAGAGTTCTTTCGCCTATATGAGATGGGATTCTTCAGTAACTCTCAAACACCAGATATCAAGCATCTCTACAGAGAGCTGCAGATACAGCTCAGCAGTTAAGAGCTCTAGCTGCTCTTCCAGAGGATCCAGGTTCAGCTCCTAGCACCTGCATGGTGGCTCACTACCATCAGTGACTACAGTTCCAGGGGAATCTAAAGCCCTCTTCTGGTCTGTGTGGGCATTGCACACATGAGGTACACATGCAATCATGGAGGCAAACACTCATATAAAATAAAAATAAGGGAAACTACTTTCAATAACAGGTAGTATAAAATGTGCTCACTACACTGTGGTCCTGTAGGGAAATGCTACCATGCTTAAGGTAATTTGGCAGAATGTTTTTAGCTCCTCTCATAATCTTGTATACATTCCTCGGTATCCAAGGGCACTTCCAGAACTGCCCACTGTAGACAACCTCCTACAAAATGACCAGTATCTGACAAAGATCCATGCATGGCTTCTGCATGTCTTACACCTGGAGACTACACATCTAAAGACCATACATGGTAGCTATGATAACTGTTTAGGGAAGTGATAAGAGGAAAGTCTGTCAGCAACCAAAGAAGGATTTGTAGGTTCTCTGGACTATTCTTCCAACTTTTCTATGGGTATGAAATGTATCAAAATACAGTTAGAAGTTCATCTTCAAAAGGTTTTCCAGTAGATAGAGGCGCTTGCTGCCAAACCTGACAAACTGAGTTTGAATCCCAGGGACAGATGCAGCGAAAGGAGAAACTGACTCCTGGAAGGAAGTTGTCCTTTGACCACACACGCACACACTGAAAATAAACGCTTTCACAACTCTCTCTTCAGTACTTTTCTTCCCCAAAATACAAAGACACCTCTGCCTTTGGGATCACATCTAACTTTGTATCAACAGGATTTCCTTGTGGATATGATAAAGGCATGCCTGTAGTCACAGAAACAGAGAAGCAGACAAGAGGGTCACAAGTTCAAAGCTAGAATGAGCTTTATGCAGCTCTGTCTCAAAAAAAAAAAACCTTTCCCTTTCATCTTAAAACATTCTCTAATCAATTGTTCTTACTCTCATTCTCAAGTAAAATGTACACAGTATCCTCCATATTTTTTTCATCTTTTCAATTTACTGCAATTTGATATTGTCTGAGTACATTTTCTCTATCACTCAATTTTCTATAGTGTCAATATATTTCTGCATTTAATTTACATGTCAAATGAAGGAACTATATTTAAAATTCCCAGTTTTTTTGCTCACTGACTATTTTCTTCAGTTTCAGAGAAGTAATCTTCATAGTGAATTAATGAAAAAAATCAAGCAATTAATTACGATTACCTGTTTCTCCCAGTATTATTAACATCTGTGACAATGACCTTTTTCTTATAGTGAATATTTTTCACAGATATCAGAAAAATGAAGTTTATTTTCTGCTCACCCATCCTGTAATGAAGAATTCAGGTCTCATACAAGAAAAGGAAAGGCACTGCCCTGCATTTCTCCTCTAAGCCCCTCTAAGCACTGTATCTGATATCCATAGCACTTTCCTGTGAGATCCTCTTCTACAGAGAACTCAAGGAACTGGAAAAGTGAGATTTGCTATACAAAAGTCAAAGATAAAATAGTATAAAACAAACTGAAAATTATTAACTGGTGCCGGGTGTTGGTGGTGCACACCTTTAATCCCAGCACTCGGGAGGCAGAGGCAGGCGGATCTCTAAGTTCGAGGCCAGCCTGGTCTACTGAGCACGTTCCAGGACAGCCTCCAAAACAATACAGAGAAAAAAACCAAAAAAAAAAAAATTATTAACTGGTAAAAGAAATTAAGTACCTAAATATAAAGAAAACACCAAATTTACAGACCAGACTGTTGTAAGAAGCAAAGCATTAGTTGGTCAGACACTTGTTTTTCCTTTTGGGTTTTTCAAGACAGGGTCTCTGTGTAGCCCGGGCTGTCCTAAAACTTATTATGTAGATCAGGCCTCGAATTCAGATATCCACTTGCCTGTGCCTTGGAATGCTAGGGTTAAAGGTGTGCCACCACATTCAGCAGGTCAGATACGTTGTTAGGTTTCCAGATTGGATGAACAAGTGGGTAGCATTATCCCACAGGCAGGGCAGGGGCTCTGAACTGAACAAAAGGAGTAAAGGAGAAAGTCCCTTGAATGTACAAATGCTCCTGTTCTCTGCTTCCTGACCTCCAAGATGTGAGCAAACAGTGCACACTCCTACTGGCACAGTTGTGAGCACCTCCTGCCCTGCCACTGTGGACACCGGCACAAATAAACAAACTGCTTCTCCTGCAAATTGCTTTTCAGGTATTTGATCACAACATGAAGCTAACTAATACACCACCTCTACTCAAGTTGGCAAAGTGAAAGTAATCTCTGTGAAAATCCCCAGTAACTCTTCTCATGAGTTGACAGGCTGGTATTAAAATTCATATGAAAATTTCAAGGAACCCGGAACACCATCAAATCAGAGTAGGCACATGGCAAAGATTTCCTGGAACCTAGCCATTGCTCATCTCTTGTGAATGGTTTGTGGCTGCTCTCAGAACAGCCTGTAGAACTGGCAAACTTAAGATATTCACTTGGTGCCCTGAAGTAGGTGTTTACAGACCTGCTCTAACCAGCTACCTGCATTTGGCTTCCACAACAGAACACACTCCAGTCACACTAGACTTTCTGGATCCCATTAAACTGTTATTTAAATGTCCTCTCATAGCTGACTCGGCTTAATTCTGGCATTACTCTATTTATAATGTCAGGTTCAACAAGAAAACAAAACTAAAACACCATATGATCAAACAGTCCCACTCTAATAAGCAGCATCCCAAGCTGTGGATCTCAATCCCTCTGGGAGTGAAACAACCCCTTTCATTTCAAAGGGGTCACCTAAAACCATTGGAAAATACAGACATCTACATTACAGTTCATAACAATAGCAAAGTTAGGCCGGGCGTTGGTGGCGCACGCCTTTAATCCCAGCACTCGGGAGGCAGAGGCAGGCGGATCTCTGTGAGTTCGAGACCAGCCTGGACTACCAAGCGAGTTCCAGGACTCCAAAGCCACAGAGAAACCCTGTCTCGAAAAACCAAAAAAAAAAAAAAGCAAAGTTACTGTTGTGAAGTAACAACAAAGATAATTTTACAGTTAGGGATCACCTCAACACTAGGAACTATATTAAAGGGTCTCAGAATTATTCTGTCAAAGAGATGTCTGCATACTTGTGTTTACTGCAATATAACAGTGAAGATAGATAGAATCAATCAAGTGTCCACTGAAACAAACAGACTTTTAAAATGGGCAGTGGAATACTATATTCAACCATAAAGCTTTACTCTCTTTTCTGGCAACATGGACAGAAGTAGAAGATGTCATGTTAAAGCCGGACATTGGTGGCGCACTCAGGAGAGGCAGGGGCAGGTAGATCTCTGTGAGTTCGAGGCCAGCCTGGTCTACAGAGTGAGTTCCAGGACAGCCTCCAAAACAATACAGAGAAACCCTGTCTCGAAAAACCAAAAAAAAAAAAAAAATCTATTTATGCATGTTATGTATATATGAGTGTTCTATTTGCATGTGTGCGTATACCTGAAGAAAGCAAGGGATCCCATCGTAGATGGTTGTGAGCCACCATGAAGTTGCTGGGAATTTAACTCAAGATCTCCAGGAGAGCAGCTGGTGCTCTTAACCGCTGAGCCACCACTCTAGCCCAGTGTGGGTAAGTTTTTATGGTGTGTGTTGCAAAGGACCAAAGTTGGGATTCAAACACACCAGACAGAGTTCAGTACTCTACCTCTGCACTACACTCCCAACCTGAGACATGATTACAGAATACATATCATCATGAAAATACCATCCGGAAGTTTCATACCCATCCAGGTGCTAACATATTCCAATAGACCTGTTGGATGTAACCAGGGTTTGTACTGATTGTAAGACCCAAGAACCTGGTAAGTTTAAAATGGCTGAGTTGAGTTCTCAAAATTCTAACTTCTATTATTTACAAACCTTATTCTTTTGTTTGTTTGTTTGGTTGGTTTTTCCAGGATATTGTTTGTTTGTTTGTTTGTCCTATGCCTCCAGAGTGCTGGGGTTAAAATGCTGGGTTGTGGTCTACCACAACCTGGAAAATTTTTCTTTTAATTTGCAGCAAACACAGTTTTGTGTAGAACGGTATCAAGCTCGCTCCATTCATTTACCAGAGAAAAATCTGCCAAATGCCTAAATTGTCTACAACCTGTTTTGGTTTTTTTTTCCCCCCAAGAAAAAATGTTGTTCTGTGGGGAAAGGGTATGTACTTCGGCTCATAGTCAGTTTCAGAAATATTTTTTCTTCATTTCACCTCAAAATGCAGAAGGGCATTGTACATGGCATCTGAATGGCAGCAAGAGCACCCAAAAGGCAAGCGCTCAACAGGACTTTTGTGCTCAGTGAAAAGGCCAGCAAACAGAAGGCAAGCAGTGACATGTGCTATCATTACAGTTTTGATCTGTGCACCCTAATTATAGAGCAAAGCAAAAAATTACAACACCAGACCTTGTACAGCTCCAAGCTCTACAGACATATCCAAGCCTGATTCAGACAAGCAGGAAGAAACTCTCTCAAAAATGTTGCTACTATGTAGTAAACATACAACACTCTATACCACCCTACCCCTCACTTCCAGTAACAGCTATTGTTGTAACAGCTGTTCCATGAGTCTGTGCCGGCAGACATCTGCTTCACAGAGCACTAGGGTGAGCCTTTCACCACAGTCAGACCTCTGCTGAAAACCACCTGACTGCATTCCATGTTGCTACACGCAGAAGCCTCACAGGGTCTCTCAACAAGCTTACAGTATGGCTGCCTCAAGTCTCCAAACTCCAGCCACATTTTATTTCCTGTCCACTTTATCACACAGTGTTCTCCCTCTGAGTCCCTGACGGCAGTAACTGCATTTACTCTTTTTTACTTGAAACTCTATTCTAGACTCTGTTATGCTTAACACTCTCCATTAGTGCCCCCTACACACACACACACACACACACACACACACACACACACACACACACACACACACACTATGACTCACTAACAGTTACACCACACATTCACTGGTTTGTCTACTGCCTGGCTCTCCAACCAGTGTGCAAACTCACAAGAACAAGAACTGTGCTAGTCTGTTCACCTTTGCATCCCCAGCATCAGAAACACCCATATTAGCTCTGTGTTTATCTGCTGAATAAATACATCAATTAAAAAAAAAAGTCATTAGCACCAAGAGAGCAATCTCAAATCTGCTTTTACTCTCAAAAATACTTTCATTCAAAGCAGATCTCTTATGAGCTGTCCTTGAAAATCAACCAAAAAAGCAGCACACATAAGGACATAGTGCAGGGGGTTTCCTAGAATTCAGTACAATGCTGTAGAGCCTGCATTAACTGCTGCAGATACGTGCAGCCAGAACTCTAGTAGACTCAGGAGTTCAATAATCTTGCCCTCTACTGTACTGATAGGCAGTATTAATACACTATCAAATTAAATCCTCAAAAAAAAATCTACCTAAACCTCAAGGAAAAGACGCTATTACAACTCACAGAAGACAACATGTCACACGCCAACCAATAGAATCAAAGACAGAGTCACCAGATACACCAATAATGTCTCATAGTTACGAAAAGTTAGGGAGAACACTTCACACATCCTGAATTTTCACCACAGTCATTTCAAAATTACTAAGAGTTAAGAAGATCTGACTAAAGAATGTTTAACAAACAGGAAATGTGATCCAAACCAAGTCTTCAATCTATTTCTACCATTTTCAATTCTGAAATATTGAATAGTAAAATCTCTAATGTCCATTATAAACATAAACTGTCCAAACTCCTCAGAGCAAATATGGCTCAAAAAAATCTTGAAACTCAATGTAAAAGGCTACACTATTCAGATTTTTAAAATTTGCATTACTATGTGTGCCCACAGGAGCAGTGAGCTGCCCAACATGAATGCTAGGGAACCAAACTCCATACTTTCGTAAGACCAACAAGTGCTCTTAACCATTGAGGCATAACTCTGGTGCCTTAATCTTTAATTTTATATTAAAGAGAAAAATCATTCATTTGAAGGTATAGTAACAATAAAGGTAGAGTAATTTTATGTACCATAGTGGTTTGAAAGAAAATGGCCCCCAAAGAGAAAGACTCTATTAGGAGGTGTGGTCTTGCTGGAGGAAGTACGTCACGGTGGAGGTGGGCTTTGAGGTCTCATACATGATCAAGTCAGGCACTGTTCACTTCCTGTTGCCTTTAGATCAAAACGTAAGGACTTTCAGGGCCAACACCATGTCTGCCTGCATGCTGCCTTGCTTCCAGCCATGAGGATAATAGACTGAACTTCTGAACTGTAAGCAAGTCACCCCGATTAAATGTTTTCCTTTACAGGGGTTGCTGTGGTCATGGTGCCTCTTCACAGCAATAGAAATCCTAAAACATGTACTTTTAATGTATTATTTTTGTCCTATGCCACCAAAACTGTTACTAAACAATTCCCAAGGCACGATCACTTGGTATACTTGAACACAAGATGCTCATATTTTATCATATTTAGCTTTAAGGCAATATTTTAAGCCCAAAATACAACTCTTCTGAGCTTAATTAGCAGATGTATTCAACCAACATTTTATCAAGGAAAAAGCAATATACAAAAAAGCTTATCAAGCCGGGCGTTGGTGGCGCACGCCTTTAATCCCAGCACTCGGGAGGCAGAGACAGGCGGATCTCTGTGAGGTCGAGGCCAGCCTGGTCGAGTTCCAGGACAGCCTCCAAAACAATACAGAGAAACCCTGTCTCGAAAAACCAAAAAAAAAAAAAAAAAAAAAAGCTTATCAAAAATCAGTCCAAACAGATGGCGCTGACGAACAATAAACGTAAGCAGTGATGACCACAAGCTCTGCCCACCAAACAAGGGAAAATAACTAAAGCAAAACAGAGCACCTGAGCTGTAGAGCACTGCGTTTGAGAAGTAGCTGGGTGTGGATGGGAATCTGAGGCAGGAAAATCTCAAGTTTTAGGTCAGAGCTCAAAGTACACAGTAGGACCTGCCTCAAAAACTGGATGAGTAGGTGACGGTTGATGGAAATAAATGCAAGAAGGGATAAGGGAGGAAAACAGCAGATCACTTGAGAAAACATAGCACTAAAAAAGGTTTTAGCTGGGGCTAGAGAGATGGTTCGGTGGTTAGAGGACCCAAGTTTAGATCTCAGCATCTATACCAGGCCTCACCACCAACTGCAGTTCAAGCTCCAGAGGAGATGATACCTCTGATCTCTAACAGTACCTGCACTCACATGCACACACCCACATGTAGACGACAACACACACACACACACACACACACACACACACACACACACAAAGTAATAAAAATAGGCCAGGTGTAATAGTGTACAGCTTTAATCCCAGCATTCGGGAGGCAGACACAAGTGGGTCCCTATTAGTTTGAGGCCAGCCTGACCAGCACACTGAGTTCCAGAACAGCAAAAGCTATATAGAGAGGCCTTATCTCAAATAAATAAATATAGATATTTTTCTTAACCTTTAGATCTTTTTGAAGACATATTTGATTTGATTTATTACAATGTGTATGTTGACGTATACCACATTTGTACAGGTGCCAGGAGGTTAGATGGACCCCCTGGCAATAGAAGTTACAGGAAGCTGTGAACAGCCAGACATGGGTGCTGGGGGAAGAGGACTGAATCCTCTGGGAGAGCGGCAAACGATGTGAACCCTGGTGCCACTTCTCCAGCCCCATTCTGGTCTCGTACTGTGGGGCTGTGCTGCTGTGGAGATTCTGTGCAAGGCCACCCCTGCCTTCACTGTCCTCACGGGGAAGGTGAACAAACTAGGGTTCCACGAACAGAAAGTTTCTACAGTCTTAATTTACCTATTTAAAACAGAGTATTTACTATGTTTTAGGAACCAAATTAAACATTTCACAAAGCACATCATATGACGAATGGCTACATTAAGATAGCACTGACTGGCCAAGCGTTGGTGGTGCACGCCTTTAATCCCAGCACTGGGGAGGCAGAGGCAGGAGGATCTCTGTGAGTTCGAGGCCAGCCTGTTCTACAGAGCAAGTTCCAGGACATCCTCCAAAACAATACAGAGAAACCCTGGGGGGGGGGGTTATAAAGGGGGTAGGAAAAAAAATCAGCCGACAAAACGTGGCCCAAAGTAGATACCATTCAGTACCAAATACACTATGCTTTTTCTCAAACACGCCGCTGAGACTTTATGGATATTATCGTACTGACTTGAGTCTCAGTCAAGATGAAACATTGTTCCTACTGTGAAAAGGGCAATAAAAATAAACAGCTACTGAGAAGTCTCTTCCATTGGCTTTGGGAAATCACACACCTACACATTTCTGTGTGGCTTTCAAGACCCAAGCTCTTGAAAACAGAAAGAAAGAGACGAGAGAAAAAAAAAAAAAAGACAAGCACGGTGACAAATACAATTCACACCTAACTGCACCTACGGATGGAGAGCGACAACACACGAGTCTAAAGTCCAAGCTCCAAGAAGGGGGAAGGCAGGGCAATGAAAGACAGTCGTACTCCCCCCCCCCAAAAAAAAAGAAGACCCGCCTAGATGTGAGACAGTCTCGCGTCTGACACACGTTTGGACGGGCCTGGCCCAGAGGCGAGCCCAATGATCCCCGGAGATGCTCGGGGATGGACAAGAAGAAGGTTAACCGTCCCTTCTGCACCCACCCACCCACCGAGACCCAAACTCCTGACGCCCGGACCCGGCTGCAGCTGCAAAAATAAAAAAAAGACTCGGCAGGTTTTCCAACGAAACTGGCCGTGCTTGCTGGCAAGAGCTCAACTCACCGTGATTATCTTTCTGCCCGATATTGTGCGTGCGGATGAGCGAGGACAGCCTCCGCACGTCTCCCTTGAAGACGCACTCGTGCACCGGGTAGAGGGAGGGGCAGCTGCCTCCGTCCGCCGCCGGGTGGACGCCCAGGCAGGCCGGGGCCGGGCAGGTGGCGGTCACCGCGTTGTGTTGTGGCGCCGGGGCCGGGGCTCCGGATCCGGGTCCCGGCGCGGCGGCGGGAGCCTTCAGCAGCTGCAGCCGGTGATGGTGGTGATGGTGGTGGTGGTGATGGTGGTGGTGGCTGCTGAAGATCTTATGGCCGGCCTTGCCGCCCTTGCCTCCTCCGCCGCCGCCCGCGCCGCTCCTGCCCCCGGTGAAGGCGCCGCCGAGCGCGGCCGTCGCCTCCTCCTCGCAGGGCTCCAGCACGTCCCCGTCCTCTTTGCTGGGCTTGTGGTCCCTCCGCAGGGAGCGGATCTTCTCTCCGGTCATCGCCGCCGCCGAGGCGCGCAGGGCGGGCTCCGGGAGGGCTCACCGCGGGCCGAGCCGGAGGAGCGGCCGCAGCGGCGGCGACGGCGGCGGCGGAGCCGGGCGCTTAGAGAGGCGGCCGCGACCCTCGCACGCAGCATGAACTCCCCGGGCGACCGCGGGCCCGCCACACGCGCATCTCCCGGAAGCGGCGGCGTACCCTCGTCCCGGACGAGGAAAACCGCGGCCCCGGGAGACCACGACCTACACGACGCCGGCCGCAGCCGCCGCCGCCTTCTCCTTCTCCTCCGCCTCACACGGAGAGACCCGGCGCAGCCATCTTGCCCCGACTTCTCTCGCGAGAGCTCCCGAGAAAACGCCGCGGGACGTGAACGGGGCCCCTCTTTTTGCACCCGCGTCTTCGGTCCCGGCGGCGCCCGCAACTCCTCTAAGCACAGGGTTCCACCCTGGGACGGGGGCCCTACAGCTGGAAAACTCAGACTCTGGAGTGGGCTCTGCCCCTGGTGCTCTGCCCCTGAGGCTTTGGCCTGCAAAGGAGGAGGTCAACGACGGTCAACAAACTCAGGCTTGAAACGCCTCGGGTCTGTGAACCTCCCTTAGGGCACGCCGGATGTGACATCACTGAGCTGCGCTGGACGCTCACTCAGTAAACATTGGCGGTGCATCGTCTTGGGTTCCCTAACCTGTGCTGGTGCCTGCCCTGACTGGCGATGGTTTTGCGGGGAGGACAGATGGCCAGGTTACACGGGAAAAAAGGGTTCCATTTAGTTTGGGAGGACCTGGAGAGGTGATCTTGGAGGGGTTTGAGGACTTTAAAGGCTGTGCATTACAGCAGGACGGGAGGATTTCCACACATTTGTTAGTTGTTATTTGGGACAAACATCAGAGTACGTGGAGGACACTTACCTGAAGAAGTAGAATGATTTTTTTTTTAAATAAGTGGGCAGTAACTTTCCTAGAGATACCCTCAACTGAAACTTGTTTTTCTCTCCTCCTTAGGCAGGAGAGATCCCAGGTGAGACAATGAAAGCATTAAGCTGGGTGCAGTGAAAAGGTTTAAGACTCTTTAAACAATAAGTTCAAGATTACCACATCGAGTTGAAGGTCCTTGCTGTTTGACCATTTATACGTTTTGGAAATGTGGACATAAATTCAAGATGATGACTGGGAAACAAACACTGTGTGTGTGTGTGTGTGTGTGTGTGTGTGTGTGTGTGTGTGTGTGTGTGTGTGTGTTGAAATTGTGAACGTTTAGAAGTCTAAACTGGACATGGCGTCTCAAACCAGTAAATTCTAGCACTCCAGAAACTAAGGCAGGGCAGGAAGATCACATAGATTCAAGGCTAGCCTAGGCTACCGAGTGAATTCAATTCCAAAATTAATAGATGGGACAGTAAGATGGCTTGTCACCCAGCCTGGGGACCCGAATTCAATTCCTGGGACTCACATGGTGAAAGGAGAGAACCCATGCCAACAGTTTGCCCTCTGGTGAGTGCCCACACACAAATGTAAAAAAAAAAAACTAATAGGAGATAGACAGCAAGAGTCTTGCATCTCATTACTGGCTGCTACCTCTCCATGGCTGTAAAAATTCCTAGGTGTCCTTCAAGTGCAATCAAATACCATGAACATTTTTTATCACTTCAGACAACCTGTTGTAGTGGTGTATGCTTGTAATCCCTGCACTCAAGAGGTAGAGGCGGGAAGGTCACACCAAGGGACCATTCTCCAAAAACAAACATATTTGCCCCTAAACTTTAAAATCTAAGGGCTTATAGTATATAACAGAGGTAAGTGACATCAAAATATGAATTAATAGTCGTTATAACTTTTAAAAGCAGCACTCAAGAGGAAAATGCCATGCAGCAGAGCTTTGGGTGGAAGAATTTTATTGGGGAAAATTGGATGGAAAAAGTGTGGAGGGGAGAAGGGAGACAGGCCTCTGGGGACGGGAGCAGCAGAAGAAAAGAGAGCAGATAGAGAAAGAGGGAGAAGGAGAGGCAGAGAACCAGACAGGGAAAGGGAGAGAGAGAGAAGGATGGGAGGTGGGCCCTTTTTTTGTTTGGTTGGTTTTGGTTTGGTTTGGCTTGGTTTGGTTTTTGGGTTTTTTGAGACAGGGTGTGTCTGTGTACCCTAGGCTGTCCTGGAACTCACTCTTATAGATCAGGCTGGCCTCGAACTCACAGAAATCCACCTGCCCCTGCCTCCTGAGTACTGGGATTAAAGGCATGGCCACCGACACAAGCGGGTAGGGCCCTTTTAAAAGGGAGCATAGTGAATGTGCACAGGTGGTGCTCTAAGTGGCCCCAGCTGAGGGCATATCCTGTCAGAGCCCCAAGGACAGGCCAGGACAGATGCCTAAATACTAACATTCCTCCCTTTTCATTTATTATTTTTGTTTTTTTGGTTTTTTGAGACAAGGTTTCTCTGTGGCTTTGGAGGCTGTCCTGGAACTAGCTCTTGTAGACCAGGCTGGTCTCGAACTCACAGAGATCCTCCTGCCTCTGCCTCCCAAGTGCTGGGATTAAAGGCGTGTGCCACCAACGCCCAGCTTCATTTATTATTTTTAAAAAAAGAAAAAGGGGAGGAGTTAGAAAGGGGTAGCAGGCGAGGTGGGGAATGAGGATTTTGTAGTCTCAAGACTACTTCCTGCTGACCTAAGGGGTGTTGTTCATCTTTGGGGGACCTGGGAGAGCTGGGGTGCTGACCATGTCCTGGAGTAGCAGGCTGCTTCCCTTCACTCTCCAGGCTCTGTGGAACTGTCTGGCACCGCTGGGACCTGGAGAAATGCTGTTCGAGGTGGACCCAAGTCTATTCCCTAGAGTTTAAAGCATGTGATCCTCTCCCGCCGCCACAGCATCACCTGGACATGTTTGGTGGTCTTACTCCTCCAGTTCCGTGGCCAACAGCTGCTAGTCCTGCAACAGGAGCCAATTGGGAATGGTTAGTGGGTCTCCAAAAAAAATCCCAATGGGAGGTATAAATGAAGACAGCTCCCAAGGGTCTGCAATTCCTAGCGTCCCAGGAATTCAGAGAGGGTTGATTTGGAGACAGGCACAGGACAGGCTGCTCAGGATTCCTCAAACACAGCAGGGACCAAGGGCTCTGAGCCTGAAAAACAACAGTTGCCTGGTAACAGGACTTTGAGAAAAGTCAGAAGGCAAAGAGAAGCCTGTGCTAGAGAAAGGAATCCTCACATCCATGGGAATTGGTCAGAGGCTAGACCCAATTGCCAATATTGAATGGAAGGCGAAGCCGCCAGTGAACAAGAAAGCAGATCTGTTGGAGGTAGAAGAGAGCAGATCTGTTGAGGGTGGAGCAGGTGGGTAGGGTCCCAACGTATTGGAGGGATTACAAAGTGCCTGGGGCCGGGCGGTGGTGGTGCATGCCTTTAATCCCAGCACTCAGGAGGCAGAGGCAGGCGGATCTCTGTGAGTTCGAGGCCGGGCTGGACCAGCCTCCAAAATAATACAGAGAAACCCTGTCTCGTAAAAACAAAACAAAACAACAACAACAACAAAAAAAACAAAACAAAGTGCCTGGAAGAGGATTTCTGTAGACTTACTTATTCCCCATGAGTGAAGCAGAACAAGATCCAATGGTTTTTAATCAAGCAAGAAAGACACAAGCCGCCAGATGTTTCATCTGTCAAAGGGCCGGGGCTGTAGAACCCGAGGGTAGGGTCCCAGTAGTTCACACAAAGGACAGAGGCCAAGGGTTCTAAGTCTAAAAGAGCCGTGGTTACCTGGCTTAAATGAGGCCAAAAGATGAAAACCATGCTCGAGAGAGAGTCCTCACTCTCACTCATGGGACTATCTAGAGGCGGGGTGGGGAAAGAGGAGACCTCACCAATCATCGAGTCGTGCGGGTTTTTGATGGAGGGACCCAGCAATCCAGAGAAGAGGAGCTGTAGTATGTGGACCCGGTTCCAGGGTCCCTGTGTGCCTCAAACTGCCTGCGAGCGGGAGGAAACGCTAGGAGAGACTTTCCCAGTCAGGGAATCAATGTTGTAATTTTAAAAAGTGGTGCGCAAGAGAAAGACGCCATGAAGCACAGCTTGGATGGAGGGTTTTTGTAATTGGGGGAAAGTGAATGGGAAAGGGGGGAGAATAGAAGGGAGACCAGCCTCAGGAGGCAGGAACAGAGAGAGACAGAGATAGAGAAAGGAAGAGGGAGGGAGAGAAGAAGAAGGAGAGACATCAGGCAGAGAAGCAGAGGGAGAAAGAGAATGGGAGGTGGGCAGGGCCCTTTTAAAAGAAAACATAGTGAATGTGCACAGCGGTGCTCTTAGTGGCTGCATCCGAGGGTGTAAACTGTGAGAACCTCAAAGACAGGCCAGTGCAGATGCCTGAACACTAACAGTATTGAAATAATGAGTACAAGAAAAACACAAGACCTGAAATTCTGTAACATCCCAGTATAACATAAGAGACGAAATTATTCATTTGATATCGAAACAAATCAAGTGATCAGGAAGTCTTTGTGGAGGAGTTGGAGAGGTGGATCAGCAGCTGAGAGCACTGGCTGCTTTCCAGAGGATCCGGGTTCAATCCCCAGCACCCGCACGGCAGTTCACAACTGTCTGAAACTCCAGCAGCTCCAGGGGATCCAACACTCTCACACAGATTTACATGTAGGCAAAACACCAATCACATAAAATAAAAGTAAATAACCTTTGGGAAAAAAATACGTCTTTGTGGAGGAAGGAATGTCTGAGCCAGGTTTTTAAAAACTTCTGTGAAAACTCGCTCTCTGCTCTTGAGTTAACATTCCCAGCCTGGCAGGCCTCCATGCCTTCCCATGAGCTATTTGTATGTCCAGAGCTCATTTCCATTTCAGAAATAGTTCCCTTTTTTTTTTTTAATCTTCTCTGCACAATGACTTTTGTTTTGTTAACTTGGCATGAAGTTTTGGGTCAGGAAATTTCATGGAATTTTACCCTAACATAAAATGTAGTATCTCCTTTTATTCTGAATGTCTTTCACAAGGCACACTTGTATAAGCATTACCAGTATCAATGGTTTGCAACCAGATGAAATGAGCAACGTTTTCAAATTTTATTACAGATAACAGCATTTAAAATCCATTACTGT